AATGTATGGTGAGCTAGTTATCATCTTCTCAGATCAGAAGAGACCATCTAAGCGGTCGATAACGCGGTCAAACTGGCCCGGCAGAATCCCCACAACCACCGATTATGTAAGGCAGTTATTTTGCGAGATTTTGATACATGATTGTTTCCCCCCAGACTCCCCACTCTTATCGCAGAAGATCGGACCAGAATACCTGTTTCCTGGTATCTCTGGCATATTCTACATTTGACACCCTCCAGGGAACCCGATTCACGGGCAGCTTTGTCGCAGTAGTACTTATTATCGCTGAATTTTTTGAGTCCGCGGGGCTCCCAACCGGCAAGATGGTGAACATCACGGAGAAGATCAAAGAGTACGTTTGGAAGAGCGAATCGCCTCGGAATGGATTTTCCAAATGGGACTAGATTCTGATATCATATAATAGGATTGAAGATGAGATGCGCAGGACGCAGAGTAAGCTTCTTTCGTTCCCTTACCCTTCGACTTTATGCAGAACCCCGCCGCTAACTCGATAACAGAGAACAAGGCCACAGGTGCGCATATCACAACTATATATTCCATACTACAGAGACATTGCGAAATTCTAACCCATAACCAGAATACCATCTGGGTCTGCTGAAGGGGTACGAACCAATCTAACCCCACTCAATCAAAGCAAAACAGCTAGCTAACAGCTCCGACAGAAAGCTCGCCCGATTAAGAGCCCAGCTTCTGGAGCCAACAGGCGGCTCCGGTGGCGGTGGTGCAGGTTTCGATGTCAGCAAAAGCGGTGATGCCCGTGTTGCCCTTGTCGGTTTTCCCTCCGTCGGTAAATCGACGTTCCTAAGCAAGATCACGAAGACGAAGAGTGAGGCTGCGGCGTACTCTTTCACCACGTTGACTGCTATTCCGGGTGTTTTGGAGTATGGAGGTGCGGAGATCCAGATTCTGGATCTTCCTGGTATTATTGAGGGCGCTGCTGAGGGCAAGGGACGAGGTCGTCAGGTTATCTCCGCTGCTAAGGTTAGTTCATCGCCCATTTTTTTCTATTGCTTTCTGTGATCGGTGGGTGGAAGGATATGATGGACAGCTATGTGTCTAACCGGCAAGCAGACTAGTGATCTGATCCTCATGGTTCTCGATGCCACTAAAAGAGCAGAGCAGCGGGCACTCCTAGAGGCGGAATTGGACGCCGTTGGTATTCGCCTTAACAAGGAACCACCGTAAGTAGCTGTCCTGGGAGGCAATCCAAACGATCATCTCGCTAACAGATCCAGAAACATTTACCTCAAACAAAAGAAAGCAGGCGGAGTGAAGATCACCTTCCAGACGCCCCCGAAATACCTCGACGAGAAGCTCATCTTTAACGTCCTCCGTGATTACAAGATGTTGAACTGTGAAGTTCTGATCCGAGATGAATACGGTATGTTTCAACGCCCGACCACCGTAGCGACTTTTATACTAAGGCATACCGCAACAGCAACGATCGACGACTTCATCGACGTTATCATGAAAGATCACAGAAAATACATCAGATGGTGAGAACAAACAAATCCCACGTTTCTAAGAATTGCGCCTGGATAAATCTAACTCTACGACAGTCTCTACGTATATAACAAGATCGACAGCATCAGTCTCGACTTCCTCAATCAACTCGCCCGTGAACCACATACTGCCGTGATGAGTTGCGAACTAGACCTCGGCGTTCAGGAGGTGGTTGACCGGGTCTGGAAAGAACTCCGTTTGATCAGAGTATACACGAAACGGTACGCGTCTGCCCCACAATCTGGTACCGGATGAAGATATCTAACGTTGAGCAGGAAAGGAGAAGATCCCGATTTCAGCGAAGCGTTGATTGTACGGAGCAATTCCTCCATCGAGGAGGTCTGTGATAGCATTCACCGGACGTTGAAAGATTCGTTTAAGTATGCTTTGGTGTGGGGTGCAAGTGCGCGGCATATCCCGCAACGAGTTGGATTGGGACATATTGTGGCAGATGAGGATGTGGTTTCGATAGTTGCGAAGTAATTGCGATATGGGGGTTATTCTTACGAGACAAATACCTTTAAGAACAAAATATGATACGACGATGTGACCCTGAACCGAGGCCGGATATTACAGACTGGAACTCCTACACTTGCTACACAGCACCCCGTGGCATTTACACGATACTCAAGAAATTGCAAATTGTAACAGCAAGATTTTTCAATTGCTATATAGACCCATATGAACCATACTAAATATTAACCCGAATCCAAGGACATTCACATAACCCATTAACCCAGACTCCACGCACAAAAGACCAAACAGAGGAATACATGCTTTTAAGCGGCGGCGGCGGCAGCAGCAGCGGCCACATTCTGCATGCCAATAGTGGGCTGCACGCCAACACGCTCCTTAGCAAGGAGATCGACCAAGAGAGGGCTAGGAAGGCTATCCCGAGTGGGGTGGAAAGCCGACTGGCTAGCCTTGTACTTGCGCACACTATCAAGGTAGATGTCAAACAGGTAGGAGGAGTCGAGCGGGCCGCCCTTGGCCTCGGGGTGGAACTGAGTGCTGAAGATGGGACGGGTCTTGTGAATCATACCCTCATTGCTCGAGTCGTTCAAGTTCACAAAGTAGGGCTTCCAGTCGGACGGCAGAGTCGAAGCATCAACAGCATAACCGTGGTTCTGGCTGGTGATATGGCAACGACCAGTGCTCATGTCCAGAGCCGGAATGTTGTGGGCACGGTTACCGTACTTCAGCTTGATGGTACGAGCACCAATGGCAAGGGCCAACAGCTGGTGTCCCAAGCAAATACCGAAGATGGGCACCTGGGAAGTCTCCATCAAGCGGCGCAGGTGGTAAGCAGTCTCCTGGCAGTGGGTAGGGTCACCAGGGCCGTTGGAGATGAAGACACCATCAAAGTGGTGGGCAACCTTGTGGATGGGGTAGTCGAAGGGGAACACAGTGATACTGGCTCCACGGCTGACCAAGCTACGGAGAATATTCTCCTTGACACCACAGTCGAGGACGGCAACATGGCACTGGGGATCGGCGGCACTCACGTGGAATGGGGCCTTGGTGCTAACCTGACGGACGAGGTGGATCTGCTCAGGGTCCACGAAGGCCTCGTCCTGGTCGGCGTCGTACTCCTCACCAACAGTGATACGGGCCAGAGAGGAACCCTGCTCACGCAGGTAGGTGACAATGGCACGAGTGTCAACGCCGGAGATGGCAGGGACACCCTCACGGGCACACCACTCCCCAAGGCTCTGGACGGCGGTCCAGTGGCTGTATTGCTCGGCCACATCGGCAACCACCACACCAGCAGCCTGAAGGTGAGGGGACTCAAAGTACTTGAGAAGGCCGTGCTGGTCCTTCTCAGTGGAGGGGACACCGTAGTTGCCAATCAGGGGCTGGGTGAAGACCAGGATCTGACCACGGTAGGAAGGGTCAGTCAAGGACTCAGGGTATCCAACCAAGGAAGTCGTGAAGACGGCCTCGCCAGAGATGTTAGAGCGAGCTCCGAACGACTTTCCGTGGAAGATAGGACCATCTCGGATCGTGAAGGTGGCACGCTCATGGGCAACGCGACCGTTGCGCACAGTGGCCATGAACCGAGACTGGATAGAAGCGTTCACGGAAGGGAAGGCAGAGGCCCTGGCGGGCATTGCCTTGAAGATTCGGGCAGCGAACATAGTATGTCAAGTGATTTAAAGTGGAAAAGTGTACGGTTGATGTTTATAGAAGGGTTCAGTAGTTTCCGGAAGCTTTCCAGAGATGATCCGAGATGTAGTCCTGCAAGCAATGCCGAGTCAGTCCCAATTGATCCATACTGACAATAGAGATCGTAAACCACGACCCGGAAACAGACACGGGCTGGTCCCATCACGGGTGTCACGTGGACCTGAATGGGGTCTGCATACCTGAGAAGTGAAAGTCGAGAAAAAACGCATAAGCGCGACGGTGCTGTTACCAGTCACTAAAAAATGGATAAGATAGGGTTTAGAAAAGGTTGATTAGATCGACATCGACGAGATGTGCGTGCAAAGAGTCTGATCGGTTGAAGATATGGGATGAGTCAATGGGAGAAGAAGGAAAGAGGAAGAGAAAGAGTGACGAGAGCGGCGGATCTTAAGGACGAGCGGGAGAAACTGAGTGCCGGCCCGGTTCCAGGCACGTGATGCGCTACACCGACTTCTGCGCGGTCCCGGCCAATCAGGGGGTCGATATTGGCTCAATTCGCCTGCGCTATCGGAATGGCAACTTTTTTCTATCGGCGTCTTCAAATAAACCCAATTATCCAATCGATTCTCCACCGCGCCATTATCTTTTTACGCCCTCCACACTTACCCCCCGGTAAAAGGAGACACGGTGGCTGGTTAAGTAAGGGCCACACCGACTGAACTGAATCCATTGCCATAACCCTCCTTTGAGGAGTCGACACTCATATCATGCACAATAGATCAATATCGATCTCGGATCGAGTAAATTTGGCAATAATACTACAGGAACAAGAGTAATCGCCACCGTGACTCACGCAGGACGATCGATTCATTGGGTAGCAAACACTAGTGGGCCTTGATCATCTCGGATGAGTTGTCGTATCTCACCTGTTCGAGCGGTTAGACTATTTCCAAGGGTAAAAAATTTTCACTTCTCGGGTCCTACCAATGACAGAGTCTGGGCCGCTGTCTTCCGGTGCCAAAGAGTCCGGGGAATTTTATACATTATCAGGGGAATTTTCTTGGCACCGACGGCAACTTTTCTCATCGGCATGGCCCGAATGATCTCCGAGAAACTTCCACTGCTATTCATATGGAAATATGCAAACAGGTGGCACAAATCTAGCGACACCTGATCGGTAGATTTCTACATTATACTTCCGGCGAGTTCAGTGATTTCCACACGTATATTCAAAGAATCCACAGGCACCGACTCATAAAGGGCCCTCGAGGTATTCGCATAGACTAGATTTATATAAACTATGGATGTAAATCAACATCAGTACCGTTAACGAGTAGCTCTATTTTGTCATGATCATAATCAAACCCTTTCTTCAAGCCTTAGTGGCAAGTATTCTACTAGGACTCTCCCTGGGACGAGCGTCCTTCCAATCTCCACCTCACCAGCAACTCATTTCACAGTTATCTAACCACTGGGAAGACCCGGGCTGCGATGGCTCTGGCATCGTCGATCCAGACGGCCACTGCAATGGCGATGGAATCGTCGACAACCCCCAGAACCCGCGAGACAAGGAGCGAGAAGGATTCCGATTCGACAATCCTTCAACCCACTGCAAATATGTCACGCAAATGCACATCTGGGACTCCTTCAAAGATCTCGAGAAAGACATGTCTAAATTGTTCACCCTGATCCACAAGAATGTCAGCTTCACCGTGGTGGGCCACCACCCCATAGCCGGCCATTACAACGACCTGCTCCATTTTTACGTCAATGCGTTGCGTCGAGTGAGTGTTTTGTTCTTGGACCATGCAGACAAATTCGAGATCCATCCACAGGCTATCCATGGGGGCTGTGATAGTGCTTGGTCGGTATCAGAGATTCAGTTCAAGGGCGTCATGAACTCTGGTATGTATATTCTCCGATATGACCTGGTTGGAATGATGCTGATGTGTTTTGTGATGATGATGCCAGGTGATGATTTTGATATTGTAAACGTGTGGGTGACGAGATGGTATCAAGACCAGATGGTCGAGATCCGGACATACATAGATGCCCCGCGGATTATGGATGCCCTTCACAAGAACGAACTCTGGTGGAATGGTACCACGTTTCGCGACAATGTGCACTACATGCCCGGGCCGGCAGGTATGCCTGACCTCAAGGAACTGGAGGACCTCATGGGTTATCCCGATGGCCGAAACTATGAGGACTGAGTGCGGAAGCGGGTAGTTCATATAAAAGATAGCTCAGACACGGCCAATAGTGTAATTTTGCATGGTAGCATTGCCACACTTGGTGATTATCTTTCGTCTATAGATGAGCAAGAAGTGGTGGGTGGCTGGAACAAACGAGAGACTCCGTGATTAGTCAACTGATATATACAGCCCTATCTTGAATAATTTAAATCCGCAACTGCAACTCGCCATCAAGCCTCCGCTAGACCCTCCCAGTCCTAGCGTATTGTAGCTAAATGTTATGACATGCTGGTTGTAGGACTGGTATTGTTTGTTAGGGCATTATGCCAAGAAGAGCGGATGACGCTATACCCGATCTGCGCATAGCATTTACTCCGTAAATCCGGGTCGAGTCATCGACGGGGCCTCGGTCCACTTGCTATTTACCTCCCCAGACATTAAACCGAAACCGAAACGATGGTCTGAGTCCATACTCACTAAAGAATGAGTGACACGGTGAGAAAACGCTCCAGGATCGCTTGCGTCTCCTGCCAATCACGAAAACGTAAATGCACCGGCGACCAGCCGTGCAGCACATGTTGTCAATTTGGCATCGACTGCCACTACGATCTGCTGTCCCGCAAGAAAAAGGACGCAAGGTCTTTTAGACCGCAGCAACCAATTCCTCCAATAGCCAACACTACGTCCCGTAATGAAACCATCCCCAAGAGTCACCGTGAGGGGACTACAGGCGACTCCCCAGACATATCTGTTCACTCCTTGGAAGCCAATTCAGGAGCAGCATTTGTACGGAGGTTGGGACTCAAGATCGACCCAGCTAATGCCCCGAGGTTAGACCTGTTCGCCTGGAATGTGGGTGCTCGCCATCCGACTCCTTCTTCGATGCCCCCGTCGTCAATGCCCAGGGCAGTAAGCGTTGTAGACATCATTTCTCTGGACGAAATGAAGCTGCTAGCCGCCACGTTTTTCGAGAAGGTAGATCCGTGCTACGGCTTCATCGATCGGGACCATCTGTTCCGCCAACTGGGCAGACGATGGCTTTCCCCATCATCGGAGTCTGTGTTGCCCTACGGACCGTACGACGCCGTACTCTGCGGCGTTGCAGCATTCGGGTATCTTTTCTCACGCAGACAGGCACCCCAAGCAGAATTTCAGCTGGCCGAGACTGCCCGCCTAATTCTTGACCAGCACATGCTCTCTGAAACACCTTCATCAGTCGACATCGTCACTGGCTGGGTGCTTCGAGTGGCATACTTGCGTACGACAGCTGCTCCTGATGCCGCTTGGATGGCCAGTTGTTCGCTGATGCATCTCATTGAAGCCACCGGCCTTCATCTGGAGCCCTCGTCAGACACAGTCCTCGGGAAATCGGCAGAGACGTGCCACCCAGAAATCCGGCGGAGGCTATATGCCATGGCGCGCCACCTTAACGTCTGGATCTCTTTCGAGCTAGGGCGTTCCCGCGTCGTCTTACATGGAGCAACGTCTCTCCCACCCACTCCAAGATCAACTAGGGAGATTTTTAATCTCCTCCCAATATCAGAAAGTTTGGACCCAAACAAAGCGCAGGATTCCCTAGACCTAGAGTCAGCGCTGGCGAATGTTCTAGATCTCGTTCACCCCCTCGCCTCACATACCCTGGCCCAATGCAACCTGATGCTCTGCATCTACCGGCGCTTGCGTGGCCTCGACTCCGTTATAGCTGGATCTCTCCTTGACCAAGTACTTGAGCTAGCAAGAAAGGGCCTGCAGGCCTCTCGCGACATGATTGCATCGATCAGTCCGTGGCATCAGACCGCCAACGTACCCTTCCAGATCATTTGCACATTACTAGCGATCGACAATCGTGCTTCGTTAGCACTGTTAGGCGATGCGATGCAGACACTGCGCGAGGTCGCCTTAGCGTACGATACAGACGTCATGAGGGAGGCCTACAGTACGGCATACCTGCTGATCCTGCTCCACCAACGACGAAAGGAAGAGGACACGAGAACCCTTCGAGGAGTTTTGCGTGCCAACTCCACTGCCTCGGCTACACAGGCGGAGATCACGGAACCCACGATCGAGTCGACTCACTCACTCGCAGACTACCCGGGGTTTTCGTGGTTGAGTGATCTGGTGATTGATATGCCAGGCCTGCAAAACTTTGATCTTGAAAGTTTCCTGGCAACCGACAATTCATGGCCGCTGCCGGAGCCAGGGATGTGATTTGTTATATTTCAGATTACAACTAGCGCGTGCTCTACCAAAACCGCACACCACATGAAGCATCAAGTGATAGTTGATGATATGGAACGGGATGCCGCCCCTTTGATTCCCAGCCGTATGGGTAATAAATAAAGGCTTATATTACGAAGGCTGCAGTCAGTCTATTCGGACTTCTTTTGCTTGGTACTCCTTCTTTGTGGCCGTGTTCCAGATGACCAGGCTATCGCACCCAGCTTCCATAATACCCACAGCGACCCGAGGCCAATGACAATCATGGTCCCCAACTCAATCGCCTTACTTTGGAAAACCCCTTTATCATCCAAGTGAAGAACCGGAACTTCCAACTTCTCAACAAGCCGATCTGATGAGGGATGCAGCTGGTAGAACATGGTTCGAGTCCCAAACAGTCCCTCCCATCCAAGGTTGACCCTGTCAAAGGGGTTTACCCCCATCTTGGTGCCGTCCTCAGCCGTGCAAGCCCAGAATACCACTGGCCATGGGACTGGGGCGGACCGATAACCAGACTCGGACGGCCGCAAGTACCGCAGGTGGAGGGGAATCGTAACATTCCACTCCCCTGGAACTTGTTCAGATTCAGAAGGTGTGGCTAGCTCAAGCAACCAATTTGACCCCCAGCGAGACACAAACCAGTCTGGCGCTTCAAGGTCTGTCTCTCCAGCCACTGCGCGAAGAGCAACCAAGTTGTGAGAGTCCAGGAATAATGGGTCAGTGGTCGAAAGCTGATACTTATCACCAAATACCGTCGATGGGAGCGTTAGGTAGGCGTGAAGCGCGCATGTCGCGTCCGGCGGAGCAGGCGGGTGGTTAAGCGATGATGGTGGCATCGAGATGGTCATGGTTGGATGCAAACCAGTCGGGGAAGTAAACGAGATTGAATATGTTGCATCCTCTGGGAGAGGCTGATGGCGAGAGGGGAAAGAGAAGAGCGTTGGCTCTGCCCATGAATCATCAGTACCATATCCGTACGCAACACCAAACGCACTCAGCAATCCGTTACTAAGCATACTCAACTGATCATCCTTCCCGACAACAGCCAGTAGCCCTCCCATCTTAATATCCTCAGGCTCTGTCGCCATTTCAGTGCCTAATAGCCCCACTTCAACCTGATCTGTTCCCGCAGCATGCTTCCGTATCTCATCTGTCCATCCATTTTCTGGCGATTGTGACCAATACCCCAAGACAGTCAACGAATGCGATATACTATCGTAGTTGATATCGACCGAGTCCGCAGACCGAATAGACGCAGCATAACGGAGACATTGCTCATCGGACGACGAACAAATCTTGTTCTCGATATACGCAACTAGGTTGTCAAGGGACGGCAGTAAACTGTGGTATTGGAAAGCAGCGGTGGAAGCGAAACGCGTGGACAGGATGGGAGGCGTAATGAAAGATTCCTGCAATGTCTGTCAGCCACGAGTATGCTTAACAGAGAAACGCAATACCAACCTCTGGACTCTTGCATTTCAACCCATAATCAAATGTTCTCTTCAATAGCGCACACAACGATTTCCTTCAAGAAACCATCAATATATACATAGCAATCACACCCATACCCTAAGCACTAAAAACTCACAATTTGTTCTCCTCAGACGAACCATCAACAGGTGTGTAGAAAACATGTAATCCAGGCGAAACCCGACTCGAAAACGGCGCAACAGTATCATACCGCCTTTCCGACGCCCACCGGAGATGAAGCTGATGACACTGTTTCAAGACCTCTGCAAGCTAAGATAATCACAATCCAGTATTAGCCATATACAACCTTTGAATTTAGGGGACAGGCTATCAAAAGCAACAAGAAAATACCTCCTCAGGGAGCTCATCAACGCTAAACGTCGCCCGTTCCTCACGGGCACCATCAATCCCATGCAAGGTGAGGGCATCGGGTGTTAGGACCGCTTGATCCAGGGAGAAGGGGGTCTCGGGACGTTGAACGAATGTGATTCTACGACGCATTGTTGGATCGCTTGATTGAGGCAGTTGTCGGTAGTTACTGGTTGGGGAGAGTTGGAGCTTGCTTCTCCGCATTTATTGTTTGTCGTCACGGGGAGTGCTTGTTGCTTGATTGGGTTAGTGTTGGTGTTTTGGTGATAAGATAAGGATTGCCTCTTTGGGACAGATAACTGGTTACCATAGTTGATGTATGTACATAGAAGCACACACTGGAATTTATGTGTTGGATTTGGTTTGCTTTTGATTGTTTACTTCGCCTCCTCCTCCTTCCTCTTCTGCTTTTTTTTTATTGTCTCAACCATAGCGAGGGCTTGCTACTTGGTGGTGATCTCAAATGCCTCGCAAGGGTATATTATGTATTTTACCCAGTATTATAGCTTCAGATACTCGGTTCCTGACAGCCTGTCCTTCAATCCTCGATACATCCAGGAGAAAGTTGTGACTAAATTATCAATAACTAAACCCCTTAATCCTATTTCCAATTGAATCCCTTCCTATATTTGCTTCTGACTTTGAACTCGGTGGGCAGTGTACCAGGTAAACTGACACCGTTGGTTTAATTCCTAATTCTTCTGATTAGTCGCCACAATTTAAGAGATGACCAGAATAGATAAAGCTTAACGGGGAGGAGAGTCTGCGTTTGCCTATATCATGCTAGATGCCGGAACACTGGTAACTGAGGACTCACGAGAGGTGGGCATGGCATACCTGGTTCCTGCATACTTCCATAGTTCTCAGTAGTATTATTAATACTCGAGCCAAATGACCGCAAATGGCGATTTAGGCATAGGTCAAGTAAAGTATGATGGTCTGGGGGATTCTCTGGTGCAGACAGATACGGGACTTGTCAGCGGGCCAAAGCTATGTAAAGATGCAAGGGAGGTTCCATTCTGGAAACAACCCTTGGATGAGCATTAAGGGGGCCCGTGAGAAATCTCGAAGATGGATATAGTAGTAAAGAATAACAAAAGTTGTATAGAATAGCTGTCATTCAATAGCACAGTCGGAAGCCTCGTCTTCCTGGCTTTGAAGCAGTACTAACTGTGAATATATATGGCAGGTAAGTCGCGGGTCGGCCCGCTTTAGCGAGCTTAAATTGCTTCGAGAAATAGAGTATCATCATTCATGATAGCGAAAGATATAGGTCAACTATTGGGGAACGGTTTGTGGGGCAGTTTTTTAACGAGCCTTACTGGAATAATATACAGGGAACGCAGTGCTATTTTGGTGTTGTCATGTGCTCTTATTAGTAGAACTATATTCTCTTTTTTACAATTCTCACTGCGACAGCAATGGAATTTAAGATCAAGTGTCGTAGTTTTTATTATCAGAATCTAGAAAGATACAGTGTGTAGTGGAAATCATATAAAACCCATGTCATCACATCATCAAGCAACCCGTCGCTCGCCCCAACGCCAACAATGCTGGTATTAACTGGAAAAACACAAGAGCACGACGACAATTACGGAAGCACATCTTTAAGGATATCTTTCTGAGAAGCAGTCAAACTGGCCGGGAACCGGACATTCACGTGAACTATCAGGTCGCCTCGCTCGCTTGGCTTCTTCGAAATCGTCATACCCTGGCCGGGGAACTTTTCTTCGTACCCAGGTTGTGTTGGACCTGGCTTGGCTACCCGGATCGATTTTCCATCGATTGTGCGCACGATCCGGTCCCAGCCGGTGAGAGCTTCTTTCAGGCTGATTTCAACAGTTGTAATGAGGTTGTCACCCTGGCGTTTGAAGTTGGGATGTTCTTTCTATATGGAAGTTAGTCACGAGTCCCACAACATTCGCGGGGCTAGTTTCGAAAGTTATCACCTACCTCTGTCACGATAAGATGGACATCCTGCCTGCCACCTTCTTCCTGATCGCCCACACCTCTGTATTTGATCTTCGAACCGGTCCGCAAGCCCGGCTTAATGTTCGCTTCAAGCGTTACATCTTGGACGGTGCGCTTTCCGCTCGCATCGAAAGTCTTGCTCTTCACGGTCACCTTCTTCGTCGTCCCGCGCATCAACTCTTCCAGTGTCAATGGCAATTCCTTTTCGACTACGGTCGGTTCGGGGGTAGGGGCGCGCTGAGATTGCTGGAAGGCACTGGGGCCACGGCTTGAGCGGAAGCTACGGCCGGCGCTGCCACCGCCGCCTCCCATCCCACCCAGGATATCAAACAGATCGTCATGATCCATGCCAGAGCCGCCACCTTTGGCGAAGTTTCGGAAGATATCATCTGCAGAGCTGAACTGGAAGCCGCTGCCACCGCCGGGGCCAGTCGAGAAACGGAAGGTCCGGGCACCACCACCTCCTCCAGGCATGCCTCCGAATGAGAAACCTCCCGGCATTCCACCGTCAAACGGACTTCCGCCAGCACCGCCAGCACCGCCACCGGGCGGAGGAGCAGGGCCGCCCCGCATCAGATAGTCAAGGCCGAATTGGTCATAGATCTTGCGCTTTTCGGGATCGGACAAAACTTCGTAGGCTTGTGATACCTCTGTGAATGTGTTAGCTATTATCCAAAACCATTGAGAAAAAGGGAGTGTATGTGGAATTCCATGTTGGGGGAGCACGGAAGGGGAAGGGGGGACCACGGATAAGTCACCTACCTTTGAACTTCTCCGATGCGGACGGGTTATCCTTGTTCTTATCCGGATGATATTTCAATGCGCACTTCCGGTATGCTTTTTTAATTTCGTCTTGTGATGCGTCGGGTTTGATACCCAAAGAATCGTACAGCTTAGTTTCTGCAACCATTGTGGGAACAATCGGTAATGAGTGGGGTAATTATGCAGCGAGATTGAGAACAAGCAAAAATCAACGAAACCCTAATTCAAGGGACCCAATGAGAATATAAGACAATGAAGTCGGGTAAGAGACCAGCTCGATGTCAGGCAATGTCGAAAGGTCTTCCCACCTCGACGGCAAGGGAGTAGGATCTCGAATGACGTAGAAGATTCGCGACCGAGTAAATTCTTGCCTTAAGAGAGTCGGCGTGAGAGATTATTCGGGGTGGTATGTGGAACGAGAAGTGAAAGACTTAAAAAGATGCACCGCAAACCGAAAGCGAATAAGCCGGCATTTAGCAAATGGAGACTGAGAGGAGGGTAGAAGGTGGCTTCATGTATCGTGCAGCGAGACGGCGGCATTCAGGTGACGACAGACCAGTCCCGATGGAGCAGCACTGTGACGTGTGACGTTGACCGCATAAGCCTCTCTGCCAATCGAAGGTTCGAGAAGGTTCGGATACCACAAGTCCGTACTTTTTTTCTGCCATAAGAACGGAGAAAACCAGACTATCCCTAGTCTGAAAAGATTGTATCGATTGCACCCATCACGCTGGAGCAGACATTGTATACAGTACCGGTGGTTTCGTTGCATATCTGCTGCCTCAACTCGTTTGCTGGCAGTCCTTTTAGTCCCTCAATCACTGGATCCCACGGGAACTTTCTTTTTACGGTTTAGCCTAGTAGCCCCACGTTCTTTCACATGATGCAACCATTCTGATGTAATACAGTAACTATAGTAGTTAGATAACTAGTTACTGTGTACTATCATTCTATCTACTCTTCATAGGAATATTCTATGGACAATAATATTGTCAGGTAGAAATACCAATACATGCTCAAATCTGGCCTGAGCATCTAATCATCATGACGAATCTATATCCACTACGATATAGTTCTTGATCACTGCCGTTCCGTTCACGACACTCGCAGTCTGCTCTTCCGTGCAAGTGCTGCCCAGCTCGAGAATGTAGCAAGTAGGCGCAGGGCTGTCAGGAACCGTGTTGGTAACGTTCCAAGTCGTAGAAGGCCCATGAGTGGAGTAGGTACTGTTCTTGGCGGTAGAGACCTTGCCCGTTGCAATGTCTTTGTTGAACAATGCACGGTGGAAGATCTCATACGCCGTCTCCGGCTGATATGCCGGCACCTCATGACCTGCTTCGAAAACGCGAGTGAACGAGAAGTTTCCGTACTGCCGTACCAAGCCACCAATATATGATGCATTGGTCTTCAGAGGGGCGTAACCTGCAGAGCGGAACTTGGCGGCATCCGAGTAATCCACCTTCAAACTCGCTTCTTCTCCCCCGTTCCAGGGGCAGGCGTAATCCCGATCGCCATATACTAAGGCAACTTTGATGCCGGAGTCTAGCACATATGCGATATCCTCCAAGTATCCGCGTACATCAGAGCGCGGGTAGTCACCTGTTGCGGAAAAGCCATTGTAGACGCTATCGACAGATTCAGTGAAATTGATCGGAACTCCGAGGGCTCCTTGGACCCAATGCTGGTTTAAGAAACCAAAGTAGTACGGAGGGGGGAAGGGATCGGGGTCGAAATGCGAAATATCATAGTAGCCTCGTCCAGAGTATAGCGAATACGGGCCCTCTACTTGGTTGCTGCAGTAATCGTTCGCTTTGGCACAAACCTTGTTAACGGTCGCGTTGTTGCCGTACATCTTGGGGTCTCCCTCTGCGGCCAACCGACGACATTCGATGATCTGATCCTTGCAGCCTCCGGGCTTGCTCCAAGCCTCCATCGCCGTATCGTATACGGTTTTGTTGATGGCCTCAATGCCATATGTATTATTGTATGCTATCTGGGGGTACGATGGTGACTGCACCAGGAGGTCGATGCAGCCATTGATAATTCCGAGGGTATCCAGGTGAATATAGTGAGCATCGTCTATTTCAATGGACCCGTTGGCAATCTTCTCATTCTGTTCTTGGAAGAAAGCAGTGAAAGATGGCCCGTACCGTCCTCCGTAGGACTCTGTCCAGATGCTTACTCGGTCATCGTGCGGCTTATACTCCGGAAATTCCGAGAACCAAGTCTGTGCAAAGGACCACAAAGCGCGGGCGGCGTTTTCTGTGGTATTGGCAGCGGTCGATTTGTTCTGGCTAGGGAAGGTGCCCACGTAGAACGTATTATTCTGCTCCGGAACACCGTCCGGATAGCTTGAAACGTTCCACTTGCTCGTAAGCTGATCATAAGTACCATTGGTGGGGATATCGTAACTGAAGCCGACTTGATTCGGCTGATCAATGTAGAGCATATTCACATAGTTGTTCCATGACCACGGGTTGATTTCGGTGGTATTTGAGTCATTATTAACGCGGCATGGGCCATTCTCCTGCAGCAGGCCGATCATCGAAGAGCTTCCTGGCCCACCATTCATCCAAATAGAAAGAGGGGCATTTCTAGGGTCATTCCTAGATTCAAAGAACCAAAAGAAGGTGTTGATGGGATAGTCTTGGTCTAGTGACACATCATTGAGAGTACCCGGGGGAAGATGCACGTAACCCGAATACGATTTGACGCCTGGGGTTGTTTCGCAAATACCAGGCTGACGAAAGTTCGGTTAGTATCAAACATGGGCAGCACAGATGCATATAACACCTACTTCTTTGTACGAGATCTTAACACCTTCCTGATGCTTCGAATTGATGATCTTCAGGCCTTCGGGGGTTGGGGGGAAATACTGGCCGGCGACGGCACCGACCAGGCCGGCAGTATGAATCACTGACTTAAGGGACGGCATGGGACGTGGTGGTGGCCCAAATCTCAACTCGGGAGCGAAGCTTGGGAGGGAATCGAAATAATGCGGGCGCCAGGGTGGATAATAGGGAGGCTTTATACTTAAATTCGGCCACCGGATGAACCTCACAACTCCGCATCCTAAGTGAGGAGGCCTGTCTTATCACGGACCAGCCGGGCGGTTTTGGTGGATGCGAAAGCGACGATCAATGTAACAGTATCGGAGGAGATATTGAGATAAGGCGCGTGGATTGGCGGAGTACCACCAGACTCCACCTTGACCAGCACTAAAAACCAGGGACTAGGGCCTATGATGCAAACACAGAAGAGAAGGCCTCATTTTAGTGCCATCCCTGGGAATAAATATCCTTTATCTCTTCTAGGGACCCTGGGAGGTAACAAAGAATACTCACTTGATATTATGTATTGTGCCTTCCAAGTTGTACATCCAACCAGTAGGAAAATTAAACTTATTTCTAAGGTTATTGACGGAATGGGTCTAGCTCTCTCCGGATCATCCGTCGGAATGCCCAGGAAAACCCCCAACTTCCCTGTTTCTATTCTTCACCTTGCCTACAATCAAAACCAGAAATAGTACACATGAGACACTAGGTCAACATGGGACGCTGCAAACATAAATGCTTCGAGTTATTGTACACATCGAACTCGGTAACATCCCACCATGTCCACCAAGCATCCTTGACGCTCATCGACAGACATGGTGCTTAATAGGCCATTATACTCCTGGTAAGGATGTCCTTTGTGTGAGGAACAATAAACGCTCAAAGTGCTGTTGACACAATCGGATAAGATATTGACTTTTTGCAAGGAGTAATAATCAGACACTAGCGTACAACCCAGACATTTGAAGCAAACAAATCATCTCATTATTCATAACACATGTGAACATCGCCTTAGAACCATTACAGAAATGAGTGTCATATACATTAATCATCACAGATGTATAAAAAGGGAATAGGTAGGTAAAGGGGAAAGGAAAAGGATAGAACAGTGTCATGCATCATAGAGCAAACACGTGCTCTCGAAACGTTTCTCACTCCTGAGTGGGAGCTGGGATATCACCCAGTGTCTTCACAAGGGCCTTGAGCCCGGGGTTTGTCTCTTCTGCGGCTATTTCTAGATCGCTGACAGTCTTCATGATGTCCCGACCCAGCTGTCGGACCAAGTCATAAGTCGCCTGGAGGGCACCGCTCTTGTGCAGGAGCTCCAAAATCTGGATCTTGCTTTCGGCAGACAATGAGGCACCTTCGGCCTTCTGTCTAAAGATGCCCAGGATGATACTCTTGGCGGTAGGGTCTACGTTGCAGCATCTGACGACCGCATACGAGATCTTGCCGTGATCCAGATCTTCACCGAAGCCTCTTTGGTTGTTGCCCGTAAGCAGTCCCAGATACTCGTTGCGGATCTGGTACCATCGGCCGAATAATTGTGTGAGAAGCTCAAAGTCCAGGGTCGAGCCTTCCATGCTAGCGGACTGCATGAGACGCACCAACATGCGGAAGATAGATCCGGTCTTTTTATCGACCATCTCCAAATACTCCTGCTCAGTCGGGCATTGAAGAGAGAAGCGCCAGTTCAGCTCCCAAGACTGTCCGATAAAATGCGTTTCAAGCTCCTCCAGGAGGCCGTCAAGCATGCCGGGGCAGTTGAGCCCGTTCACGGTCTTGGCGACGCGGACGAACATGTAGGCAGCACTGTTAATGGACTGAGCGGGACCGAAGACGAGGTGAGCCGCAGTCTTTTGGCGCTGGAGAGATGATTGGTCCTGAATGTTGGCCAGGATCTCAGAACTGTCGTGGAGGTCATTGACCACTTGCTTGACAAAGGTCAAAGGTCGGTTGGGAACTTGAAGCCAGGCATTAAGTGCAGAAACCAACTCCAGTTGCACCTCATTAGCCGAGATCGACCCGATGTAGTTTGTTGGCGCTAGTAGGGGTGTGGCATCAAGGTGTACCGTGGGGTGTTCTTCCCCATTGACGAGAGGGGTCCACACTGGTACTTCCTCGGGCTCATCGCCACCCTCTACATGGTCAACAACGCCATTGGCACGCACCTCCTCCTCCTCCTCTTCATTTTCTTCTTCATCATCTTCCTCGGACTCGTCCTCGTCGCTAGAGCTCTCCTCGTCCGACTCCTCATCACTTTCCTCTTCGGCGGTTTCCGGCACCGCGTACCGTGGTGCATTCGTGCACCAGTAGTGAATTCCACCAAGGGCAGCTTCCAGTACCTCCATCCATTTTCGCAGCTTTGGGGCGAGGTCTGGGTGGGCTTGGTATAACGCCTCGCGTCTCTTGACGAACTCCTTTTCATTTTCCAGAATGAGCTCTTTGGTCTTCGCACGCGCGTCATCCTCCGACATGTTCTGGTGCTGCATGAGGAACAATATCACATTCGCAACGCGACGTTTCTTGACCTCGAGCTTTTCTTTCGGCCAGCTGTAGTAGTCGTTGGTGAAGAACATGGCTCGCTCAGCTGCGTCCAGCGCATCTTTGACGATCGCCTGGTCCTCCTTTCCAAATCGAGTTCCGTGGGCAAATCCCATTAGGGTCCAGTAAACACTGTTGTACCAGTCAGAGTCTGTCTCACCTTATCGAACTCGGAGGCATGTGATAAACCTACTCAATTCCTGCATTCAGACGCCGACGGGCCACGTAGTCGTCGAGATTGGCACAATTGTCGGCGGTAGGGACATCCGGGGTAACAAGCCAGTTACTTCGGTAGCAGTCGATAATGTCAAGCCCATCTTTGTCGGTCAGTTCTCCCGTAACTTTCTCCAGGAGTCTCTTCCTGGCTTCGGCTCGGGGCGATTCAACAAGCTCTTCCGGCTTGTCTGTCGCGGGTGTGTTCTTGTTATCGGCATGGTCTGGATGAATGATCAGCTATAGGCTCGCGTCTAGTAGCCAGCTCAACGTACCGTCATGGACATTTCCGAGTTCAGTCAAATAGGCGACGAGTTCCAACCTTTCGGGCATGCACTCTGGATACAGAAAGCTAGCGTAGTTTCCCACCGGGGAGGTCAGATAGCTGCTTTTCGACTTGGCCTCTTCGCTATCGAGGGTGGCCGTCAAGTCTTCCAAGAAACGATCGCTACCTCTTTGGGCCACATGATCGTATTTATGTATCCGTGCAGTCAGAGTGGTGAAACAGTCATTCTGTTGCTGGACAGCAGCGTCTATGGGCTGCGAGTGAGTCCAAATCTCAATCGGCTCATTTACGGTTGGTGCATCGGAGGCCGCTTCGGACTGGGCAACAGACAAGACCCGGGAAGTACTTTTGCTTCTTCTCCTCTTGTGGGATATGAAGTTGGAGTATTGTCTGAACATTGGTCGATGTGTTATAGAAGAAGATAAACAAACAAAGCAAGAGAAGGGGATATGCAGTTAGAAGTACAACGCCAAGCTGGCAACAACGTGCAAGTTCTTTAGGAAGACGAAGAGAGGAAGAGGAATTCGGGGTTTCTCTGGTATCCTATGGCCGGCTCTTTATAGGCAACGAGTCGTCGCAATTGGCGTGGAGGATTGAGCAAAGGCCATGATGCATGTAACTGCAAAAAAATTTTTTCGCCTAGTATCAACACAGCATTGACCAAGTATTGGCCCATTAGGGAGCTAAACAGTCAGCTCGAGGACCTACTTGCCGCAAGTAAAGTATGATATTAGGTCTAATATGCATGCTGTACGCTGATTGGGGGCTGCAGCGATTGTTTTGCTGGCGGATACTTTTTTCTCCATAGCTCATGTGGAGCCACGCAACGCTCACCGCTTCATCAGTTCGCAGCTGGTGGGTTTCGCCCAGCCGCCTCGTACAGTAGATGCGACGCCGTTTGGTTGTTATTGTTTAGTAGTAGTAGTTGTTGTTGTTGGCTCGCCTTCCTCGTCGCCTTACACCCTGGTCCAGTCGGTGTTGATGGCTTTTCTTTTGGTTCGGGTGATGCTTCTCGCCCAATTGTGAGGCGATCTTGGCTCTATACAATCCCGGCAGACGATCCTTCGCACGTCGCAACCTCACAACCACCACAACACTGGGGCATATTGACCCTCTCACCCCAAGGCATCAATGGAAGACAGCCATCTCGCGCTAATCTCGGAGAGTTTGATCACGATACCGCATGTCATATGAGCAGTTGATATGGTAACAAACGGCATGAATGGGGCATGCTTTTTAGTCACGCTACGAGAATGTCCGAATGAAGCGTTAGCGTGGAAAAAGCGGGCCCCCTCGCTTCTTAAGCAACGTTTTTCGTTCTCTTCATTTGTCCCCAAAGGGTCAATTCCTCCTACCCTGTCTGTCTGGCGTCCTGTGCTGAATCGCCAGGTTTCACGCCTCTCTTCGATCCTCGATCGCGATCCGACGTCATCGGCCATTCCTTGCAACATTTTTCGGATCATTCTGAATACATACCCCAGGTTTGGTGTTTATCAATCGACATTCCAACGACTGCAATTCTATCGAACGGAGAGGGGTGTGCAGCATGATAGCTCATCATGCTCACCACCAGGATTGCAGTGCAGTACAGCAGTACATGATCGACATCCCCCTCATGCGATAAACCCATAACGGAAATCCAGCGAGGCTAATGCGCGCGTCAAAGTCAATTTTTCGCCCTCTCACCCGAGCGCTATGACGTAGCAGGTATAGTCGCCAGTAAGAAGGAGTTCAAAGGTGACCTTCCTCTGATAACGCCGTTCACATCGCAGTGTATGTAGATTACTACCCTTGAGCACCCCGAGAGAGAGGCGGTGCGCATCTAAATCCACCATCCCAACCTCATATGCGGCTATTGCGGCTCCGGAACCACTAGTATACTACCTTCGTCCCTTCATTAGGGGCTAATCAGACGATGATACGATACCTTTGAATCCTGCTATTCGGCCGAGTCGAGTAGCTGGAGTACTAACTACTACTAGCACGCATATTCTAAGCTGTCCAATATATTGGATTTTGCAAAAAAAACAATAATAATACAGAATATAGGATTCGAACAAGATAAAGAAAGTGGCGGGGGAAGGAGGGGTCACTTTTATTTTTCTTAACACAACCTTTTATAGAACCGATAATGCTTCAAAGTAAAAAAAAAAAGAAAAGAAAAGAAAAAGAAAAAAGAAAAAATCAAATACCGATTATAGATAGTACGAACTCCAGGTTGGCATTAAAGCACCAACGGGTCCGCCGATCAACGAACGATCGGCATTCGGCTTTCGGATATAAAGTTTTCCTGGGATGGGACTTTTCCTACATACATAGTGACATAGTTACATAGTTACAAACCAACATACAACAAGGACAGCGATGAAGAAAGTCTAATCAACCCCCTACGTGAACATTAAACCCTCTTTTTTTTTTTTTTTTTTGAATCTTTGGGCGGTTTAGTAGCAGCCCGTACGTACCGTTTCGCCGTACGCCCACACATACACATACATACATTGCGCAATCTGAGACAGGTTGGCGCTGGTTTTGTACAACGCGGTTAGGAGCCAAGATTTGTCGGGTGGCGGTTTTGGTGTAACCTACTCAGTAAATCTTCTTTTTTGTGTTACGATTGGGTTTTTGCTTTTTTGTTTTTCGGGGCAAAGAAGGTTAGAACATATGTGAGTTTGTGGCTGGGAGGAGATCTCTCTCCCTTACTTTTGGGGATACATTGGGGGGGGGGTTTGTCATTGGTACCGAGGCTTGTCTTTTATTGGCGGTTAATCACGGCTTTGTTGTTCCCACGTGTTGTTTGGGTTTGATATATCTTTTTGGGGTGTCAAGGTTTATATAGTTAGGTGGTCGACTGGGCACACTATTCCTACTAAGTATGCAGCCTTACATTTTATCATGAAAGCGGCCAATCATGAGAACCGATAGTGGAAACTTATAACCCTGAATAGTTCCTCTTGTCTATACCACTTCCCTTTAGACAGCAGGGATATAGTTCGACATGAGATACAGAAATCGAAAGAATGGAGATTAGGCATGTTGAAGTGCCTTAGACGACAAAGAAACAGTAAACCAGTAACTACTACCGCAAACGACGTGTATACCAGTCCCTGTTGAAGGAACCAAGCACAGTACACTTCCCTGAGAACAACTTTGTGGCCTGAAAACAACAAAGTAATTCTCTCCATGCCCCTTCAACCCCTCAGAGTCACGTTACGTAACCGCTCACAGAATACCAGTTGACAGTACTCAAAGACCAGTCTACCAGGAAGAGCGGCAATTAGCAACTTCCCACCAACGCTGTATCCATCCCATGTTGACCGATCTCTTGCACGTCGTGCCTTCAGACGCCCCACAGGCCGTCAGGGTTCTTCGTGCGCCCTGTCGTAGGTTATAAAAGCGACTAAAGGGCGCTTACACGGCCCGTGCAATAGTGAGGTCCAGACAATACTACAATCATCAGATAGTATGAAATGGATGTCACTGTTGGACGATGGTGCAAGCGGTCCCTTAGTTGCAGAGATACACCACGACAGGATCCAGGGAGCTCCCTGGCAGTATGTAATTCGTACTCCTGAAGTCACGTTAATTTGCATGACGTGTTTGCTATGCTCTCATAAATAGAAGAAGGGGTGGGGTTAATGAAAACATTACCACTCATACAAGACTAGAAAGCTCTATGCAGGCCAAGCGAGACCCAACTCCGCCACCACGGATCGTACGGCTTGAATGTTCTCGCCGCTGTCGATGTAGACGGCGCCCAAGATGGCTTCAACAGTTGTGGCCATGACTTTGTCGGAGACGGTACCGCCCTGCGAGGGGTTGACGTAGAGGTAGCGGTCGAAGCCCTTTTGAAAGCCTATTCTTGCTAGGAAGGCATTGCTGGCTTTGCCACTGTGGGTGTCGTTGATTTGTCCTGGTGGATTATGAGTTAGTTTGTTGTCATGAGATGCGGGATAATGAGTAACCTACCTCTTGTTGCATGGGCCTGGTAGCCATCTTTGACAAGGATTAGACGTAGGACTGCGTCGCCGAGTTGGGCGAGGTCTTTGTGTCCGTCTAACCGGTGGGGGGTGATGATTCTCATGGAGCCAGGGGTGCGGAGGGCTTCGTAAACAGTTGCGGGGTTGGTGAAGGTATATTTGGTTGTTTGCTCGATGAATTGGCTTCGGGTATCATCTGGGATGAATCGTTGTGATGCTCACTCCGGCTGATGTGGAAAGAGAAAATCGAGTAAAAACAGGTTATAGATCTAATGAGCTACGGTATTATGGAAATTCGGAAGAGATTGTATATATTCAACATACAATCGTTTCATTAAGGACAATACTTCGACTCGGGACGCCGCCATGAGTAGGTAACAAAAGGGGATATAAAGAAACATCCAAAACGATATAACCAACATAGTCCATGTCCATGTTAACCCTTAGCCAAGGGATACTTCCAACACCCCAATCATCAAGTCGAGAAATATAAACAACCCATGACGCCCAAGCGTTCCATTCCGCATGTTCCAAATAAACACAAAAAGCACGCTAAAAGCAACAGCAAACAAGAGAGCAATATTTTAGTGGCTGTATGGGTAGGTGCAAATTACATAAGATAAGATGAGAGGGTACAAAGAAAGAAGAAGGAAAGAGGAAAGAAAGGAGGATGCATGTGAAGCCTGGTGTCGAATACATATAGTGTGACGTTCGCGACGCCGCCATATACAGTGGGACGATCATCCAGGTGGAGGTATGTCAGGTAGTATGTACAGCAGAACGGAGGGAGCGATGAGGGGAGTAGAGCGTCTAGGCAAGTGAAGAATGCATTGCAGATTTGTAGTGATGTTCGGTGATGGTTGTTGAGTGTTCTAATTCCGTGGCGGTTGGTTTTGCGACGTCTGATGGGTGACGAGGCTGAAGCTTGGAAAGGGTGTTGCCGGTTATATCATCAAAAGTGTGGTAAGTGTCTTCGGTCTTCGAGGGACTAGTGCCGGTGACCGAAGCATCTTTGGCACTGAAGCCCCCATCCGACGCCGAGTCGGATGTGCCGACGGTCGAGATAGAATGAAATTCATCCTTGTCGACATTGTCATTCTGATGGAGGTGAGAAGCCTCAGTAGATGAAATACTAGACGCGTCGATCTTTACGTCCAGAGGCAGCTCTGCGAAGCTGTTTAGATCCGCCATTCCCAAGCTCGATACCACAGACCGCTTGCTAGGAGACGGAGGACCAGCAGTAGGTGAGACTGGAGTTGACATTGAGCCATAGCCTCCCCGGTAGGGATTTCGCGGCGGCAATGCAGGAGGAGTTCTCTTGGGGATTGTCACTAATCGTGCACGAGTGAAGGTAGGTGACTGACGCTTGGGGCTCGTTGAGGTCAAATCTTCAACGGGCGAAGAAGGGAAACTGTCGCATTTCGTGACTGTGACACTGCTGACCTCGTGTATTTCAACGTCATCGTCCACTAGGCCATCGTCGCCGTCATGGGTGGCATTGTGAGAGTGCTCCACTGGGTGCTCTGGGATAATAGTTTCCCATCCACGCTCCTCGTGATCCCATGGGTTTTTCTCCGAGCGTTCCATAAAATCTCGATTACTCCGGGATGAGGCGCGGCTGATAGTAGTCGGGGCCGTCAGTGGGGGTTCGTCGGTTTGAGTACCTCTGTCGATGCTGGAGTAGCTCTGTACACTAGCCCGCCAACTGTTGCGTGGTGAACTATCAACGCTGTGGCGGAAGGTCGAATAGATAGGGCTGTTAGGGCTGGGTCGAAATTCAAAGCTATCCACACGTGGACGAGTTTTGGTGCCGGCTTCGCGAATAAAGAGACCCTCGGCCTCCAAAGCTTTGACGCCGAAAGGATCCGGGTCATCCGGAGCCGGAATTCCAAACTTGCCAGGAGGAGAAGAACTACCAGAGGTCGGTAGTACTTCTACATCCCCAGGAGTTGGTTCTCCGGGAGCAGGAACCAGACTTTCATCGACATCCTTATCGCCCTGGGCCGCCTTGACGGTCTGGATGAGGGTTTTAATCGATGTCGGAGGACGTTTTGCTTTCCCAGCCAAGATATCTGTCACGGATATACGCTCACCATAGAAACGCTCGTTCTCGTCGGTGCGCTCAATAATGATCGTTCCGTCTACCTGGACGCCTGCATACAGGCCTCGACTTTTCATGTAGGTCCATATGGGAGCTCGGCGCTTGTGAACCTCAGAGTCTAGTACACCTCCCATGCCCACTGGACCTGCGGCTGCGCTAACTTCCCCGCCCAATGTACAGCGAACCTTCTTGAATGCTTCTAGCGCCTCATACGTGTTGATCACGACCACGCAGTCATAGATATCAACGCCCGCTAGAAAGCCAATGCCGGCGGTATGAAGCATGATACCCGAGGGAGGACTCCATTCACCGGTCTCGGGGATTCTAGCCAAGAGGACGCCACTTCCCCCCGAGCCGCTGAGCCAGAGACCCGTACGCATCGTGGTAAAGATGGCGAGACCTTTAGCGCGCTGGATGACCTCCGTGGGGATCTTCTTTATAACTCGTTGCTTGCCCTTGGGGCGATCTATTTTGCCACTCTTCACAGCATCGGTGCTTTGTTTTTCGGCCTCATCATCGGTGTAGAAACCATCTTTGCAAAAGCTTCGTAATATGCGAGCTGCCTTGTCGCTTTCTCTGTCCAGGGTCATCGGCCAGAAGGCTTCAGCACCAACCTTATTGGACAAGCGATTCACAGGGTCCCCCAGTTTGTCGAGAGTGTGCCATGCCTTATCAAAGCCCTTTTTAGAGGTCCCTTTGGTCTTTTCCCAGAGTGAGGGCGCCATTGTGACGATTTGGATTTCGCCTACCGTCTATGCGCCACACATAAAGAGGGCAAGTGAGGTGGACAGGACTGCGTTTTGAAAGGGACAGTACGGAAAGGAACTACCTCTATGACTCGAATGCGGATATATCAGGAGAGCTCAATGCGTCGAATGCAGTTCAACATGTAAGGCGATTGGCTGCCCTTGATTTCCTAATGCGACCTGAAAAATGTATGACGAGACAGTCGACGGGAACAGTGCGTCGCTGACACAGCCGCGGAATGCGTGGTAGAAAGGCACCGGAATGTTGCTCGACAGGCCCCGGGACGTTGAATATATGGTAAAAAAAAAACTGGCAAAAGTGGAAGTTTTGCCGTCGAGAACTAACATTGCGCAGCAGAGGAGGATAAAAGTCAGTTTTGACGTTCTTTGCTCCGTTCGATCCGTGTGTTCCAGACCCGCCGGTCAATGAGGTGGGTGGCGATGAGTCGTACGCATGAAAGGGAGAGGAACCATGGATCTTGCACGCCAAGGGACCATGGGAGAAGGGTCCAGCTTACCTCGGACAAAAACTCGTGAACAATAATCCAGGGCAACCCACGTCAATCAATAATCAATAGATCCCGACAGGCACCAAGGGTCCGATCGTCAACTCCCCAAGGGATATGTTGGAAGTATAACCGATATAGCAACTGAGCAAGGAAGTATGCGGAAGGGGACTAAGGGACATATATTTATTAATCTAGCTTCGCGGTACACCCTAGGAAGTCCAAGAGACTGGGAGAAAGGATATCAAGGCGGTGGTAGTAGTATAGATAGATGGTGCGGAGAAGTCTTGATGATATAATTATATAGAAATTCTTTTTGTTTAAAATAATAATAATAATAAAAAAAAAAAAAAAAAAATAGAGGAAAACGAAAAAGGAGAAATAGACGGGTATTAAGTAAAGTAATTCGGACAGTAACTATAAATCTGTGCCCAAGATCAGCAATATAATGCTGAATCGAAGAAGCATCATTCAAGGAGGAGTCAATGCGAGTGGCGCCGTGGCTTAGAGCTGAGGATGAGGAGTAAATAATCGGATAATCGGGTGGATGGGAAGAGACGGGATATATAATCAATAGTATAGAGGTAGTCCGGCAGCCCCGGACAGAACTACCCAGGAACCGTCCAGAATCGTAGTAATGTAAAATATTTAGACGGAAAAAAAAGGAAAGAGGAAAAATGAAAACAAAAGAAGCAGAAGCATCGGATAGATGACAACGGCGAGGGAAAAAGAGGAGAATGTCATCATAGGCGTCACTCCGCCATCGTCATCGGGTGATAAGCAAGAGATCGATGGACGAGTTGCAGCGGCTCCATTCGAGAGTGGAGTCGTGGCTCATCATCTTTTTCCTTTTTTCTTTTTTTTTTCTGTCTACCTTTTCGTCTTCACACAACGATATTTAGGTTATGGAGTCGATTGACTAGGGATCATTTCTTTTTTTCTTGTTATTATTTCCCCCCTGTACTACTTCTTTTTGGACCTACCATCAAACTACCTAGGTAGGTAGTCTGTGACAAAAAAAAAAAAAAAAAAAAAAAAAAAATCGATTCGATAGATTAACTCGATCCTTCGGGAGCCTTATAATCTTCCCTTGGCCAATGGTCTAGCCGTTCGTCAATGCCTTTGTTCATAGATCGATTCCATGGTTCTGGGAAATTTCTTCTCGCTTCTCACTATTCTCTGTATAGTGTATGCAAGTGTAGTACGTAGTTTACACTCCATATATGTGTCTTTAATTTCCCTCTGTACCGCAGGCAGCTCCATTTTCATCAACGGAACCGAAGATGGGCAGCCAATTTCCGTTGCCGCTTAATTAACTATAATCAATCCATATGTACCCAAGGCACCCTTCCGTGCCCTTCCGTGCCAGGATTCCTGCCTAACAATATAAAATATTGACTCGATTATCACTACCGGCGTCAGAATAATCCCTTCAAACAAGTGATCTCGCGGTAGTTACCTTAGAAACCCAAGGGGGGAGAAAGGGAAAGCAGAGAGCCAAAGTAGCTGATCCCTCAACCGATACATATGACAGCTCCGATTCTCTATTTCATCCCTTTTAGACCCCAGCCACACCATGATATTTTAGATTTGGGCTCCTGTCTTCTCCCTTTCGGCCCGCTCGTCAATTCCCCGGGCCTTGAAACCCTAGCCAAGGGATTGTCCTGTAACCTTCCGTTTTGCCCTGTCGTTTCATGACAGGTCTGATTGGGCTTCCAGATGCGCCCTGGAAGGGATGCAGTAGTCGTTTCGATAGTTTCGGGGATTTTCTGCCTGTCGGATAATGCCTTTGATCTTTTCTTGTCAGTTTTTTATTTTCAGTTTTTATTTTTAATTTTTTTTTTCCCTGCGCAAAAACCGGCTGAGGATCATTGTTGCGTGCAATCCAGTTCATGGTACTTTGGCTACAACCCTGGCCTGACGGATGAACAGGGTTATTGTTCAACCGTGAGGTTACAATATTTTCTTTTTTTTCTCGCTCCAGCTACCGGGAAGATATCCCAGTCTTCCATGAGGACGATCCTCCATCCATGAACCGGAACCTTCCCTAACAGGAACTACTCAGATCGACATCAGATCCCGAGATCCGGCCGCGTTACTTTTTGGGACACGATTGACTGGGCCTCATTCTCCACATAGGGTAGTAGTATCCTTGAGATTGACATGAACCCAATGCGCTATGTGCTGTAGTTCTGATTGACAGCTCCGGGCTAACGCTTCGTGGTATGGCTAGTGTGTATAGCCGGGGTGGCAGAGCACCTAGGATGTATTTGCTGCAGTAGTAAGCGGTAGCGCGTACTCTTTCTACACAGCATCCTTTTCTGATGCCGACCCCCGATCTATTTTATGTACACAGAATGTATTCCTTCCCGTCTATTTATTTATTTATTTTTTATTTTTTATTTCTTATTTTTTATTTTTTATTTTTAATTTTGTGTTTGTTCTCTTTCAATGCTCTTTTTGCCTACCTTTTAACGGTCCCACATGGTCTAGCCCCCAAGTCCTGACCCAGTGTCGGACGTCACTGGCCCATTTCCTGGACATCGCAAGGTGATAAGTCATGCAACTTGTCCATATCAGAACATCACTTCGATTTCACGTGTGAGCCAGGATACGTTGTCACGAACTCAACTCACCAAGACTGCCAGACCCACCAAACAGGTGAAAAAAGCAGGTCCACTGTTCCTTCATCCACGCGCTCTGAAACTGAACGATCACAGGAACACTCTCCACAAGGGCTTGGCTGGGCTCAGGGCCTCGACCGAAGCCTCATCTGCGAAGATTTATGCAATGTGCAGAATCCATTTGGCACCTGGACCAACGGCCGTGGCAAAGGGTGCCGTAAACGAGCCTAGCCTCGGTAGTATACTCAGGCGAAGCATCTATACGTCTGATCTGCACGTCCGATCGCAGTAATCGGACCCGACAGCTCGAGTCCATCTCGTTTAGTGGTGACTAGTTTAAGCTTACTATCTTTTTGTTACGTTTTGTTTTCTCTTCTTAATATGGAGTACTCCCCCCTGGTCAATTGGAGATCGGTTGGTGGGATCTTACTAGTCGCCACTTCGTCCTGATCGATGACACTTTGCCCATCCTAATTTCCAGTAGCCACTTGAGGATTCTCGATTTCCATTTCCTCTAAGGACACAAACGGAAGGAACTAATATCACCGAAATAAAACAGTAATCTACATGACACAGACCAAGCTGCACAGCACATCTCCCTCACACCACTTCAAATGCGGTGAACACCAGCACTTGCATACACCTACTTAATACATACATAACACTAAGACCCGTCAGTTACAGAACACCCCGACTAACTAAAGATAGCGACCATGTATGTCTCAGAAGCGCAGGACAATATCGAACACTTGCGTAGACGGGTTCACGATACAAATTAACTACCTGAGACTTTGTTATCCTGTGGTTTTGTGACTCGCTTCCCCACGAGACTGGCCATCAGCACCACACCCATGTCTGTTCACGGTCTGATGTATCATTTCATCGACGGGGTCTTTTGGATGTATCGAGTCTGCGTTGACTCGACACCAACTTTACTGGGGTTAGCTTGGGGCTAGTGGGCCGCTAGAACGGCTTTGGAAGTTATTCGCTAGAGCCCATGATCTAGTTATCTTGGGTTCGTGTCGATATGTAAGGGAGTGGTTATTTGTTGGGAGGGAACTTCGTCGTGATGGATATCACGAGGTCGATTTATCTAGAATTTTTATGAAAGTCTGATCGATGCAGTAGCGGATTCCGACACGTCAGGAAAAAAATTATAATTTTACTAAGAAATCAAACTTGGCGAAATATCGAGGTCTACTGGCTTATAGGTAGACGAAGTCTAAGTAATCATAAACATACACTAACCGACTATACGATTCACAGAGCACCCAGCTCCTTCAGCTTTCCGATCAATCCATCGACGTCCTCAACCTTACCGCCACCCTGGCGAGCTGGGGGTTCTGCAGAAAAGTTAGCAAACGCGCTAGCCCTGGTAACAAGGAAAGAAAATCTTCAGCAAATAAGGGAACTCACCAGTGACCTTCAGCGTCTTCAACCGCTTCTTATCCTCCACACCAAAGTCTGCCAGCGTCTTCTTCTCCAGCGGCTTCTTCTTGGCCTTCATGATGTTCGGCAGAGTAGCATACCTCGGCTCGTTGAGTCGCAAATCGGTAGTAATGATAAGAGGCAACTTAGCCCGCAGAGTCTCAACACCGCCATCAACTTCATGAGTAACTTCCACTGTTCCTTGGTCGTCCTTGATATCCACCTTGCTGGCCTGTGTCGCCTGAGGCCAGCCCAACAGGCCCGCGAGCATCTGACCGGTCTGACCCTGGTCACCATCGATAGCCTGCTTCCCGAGCAGCACTAGGTTGATGTTCTCCTTGTTCACAACCTCCTTCAGCATCTTCGCGATGGTAAGAGGCTCCAGGCCCCCATCGTTGGACTCGGGGACGTCGACGTGGAACGCGCGGTCGGCGCCCATGGCCATCGCCGTGCGGAGGGTGTCAGCGCATTTGGCTCCGCCCGCGGAGAGAGCGAGAATGTTCTCGACTTTAAGGGGACCCTTGCGCTCACGGAGACGGACAGCCTCCTCGATCGAGAGTTCGTCGAATGGGTTGAGCGAGTGCTTGACGCCGGCGGTTTCGACGCCGGTCTGGGCCTTGTTGATACGGGGCTTGATCTATTTTATTTTTAGAATGTTAGTATCTGACACCAGCTGTCACATTGGACTCGGCAACATTGAAAGGACAGCGTGAGCGTAGACCCCTCCAGCATGCTGGTCGTGGGGTTGCGGCCGGAGGTGACTCTTTCACCGAAGACGGAGAGCACGAAAGAACAAAAACTCACCGCGTAGTCGATCACCCGCTTGACGGGTACCAAGATTCGCAAACCGCTGGCCATTCTGGGCGATACTATGAAGCTCTTTTAATCTGTCAAGCCAATGGAGGGCGAGAGCCGTTTGGTAGTAGAAAGTGAGGTAGAAGAGGGTAGTGAATTGAGGACCGATGCGTCGGAGCAGATCCGGGGCAGAACAGAAGCAGGTGACTTGGCGGAGAGCTGCTGTTGCGCCGACGCGGCCCGACGCTCTCTTCCCTTTCCGCTTCGACCCTCCGCTTCCAACCGAGGTTACGGAGACATTCCCAAGGCTTAAACGTACGAATGGATTGGAAGGCGAATTGCTATTTGAGAGTATAGAACTACGGGTATTGATTCATTCTCATTGTGCGTAGATGGTTCTCTATTTTTGTTCATTGAATCGTTGCCCTCGTTCGGTGGGGTCTATCCACACACTCACGCTCCGTCTATAGTCACGTCCATAGCATGTGATTCCTACATCTATTACCATGTCTCCTGTTTGTACCGCCCAGACTTCTCCATGCCAAGCAAATATTCTTCTGCCTCTTCTCTGCTGAAGCGCTCTGCGTCGGTTGCCCCACCGTTCTGGAATGCCTCAATCAGTGCCTCCCGGACAGCTTGCGGCATTCGTCCTGACGAGCCGCACACATACACCGAACCTGCCATCTCATGCAAGAGTCTAAAGAATAGTCCAAAGTTATCCCGAATAACGTCCTGCACATAGACCTTCTGTTTCTGGTCCCTGGAGAACGCCGCAAAGACCTCCAATCTAACCAATTTACTAAGCTGCTGCCACTCTTCGTCGAAGTAGAAATCGGCATTGCGGTTACGCCCTCCAAAGAGAAGAATAGTAGGCCCAATGGTCGGCTCAATCCCACCGTGCTCCTCCTTATACGCCTTGACAAAGGCAGCTTTCTCCCAAATCATAGACCGTAACGGCGCGACTCCGGTGCCGGGACCAACCAAAACCGTTGGTCCAGAGAGTTGACCTAACGACGAATTCAGGCCTCCGCGCTGCAGGTGAACTTTCAGAGTGCTCCCCGGTTGGAGTGCCGAAATATACTTTGTGCAGACACCCTCTCTGATCCTCTTGATTATGGTCTTGTATTTCACAATGGCGATCAATAGTTCGAACTTGGCTCCGCCTTCGGGTGTCCGCTTCAGTTCGCCTCCGCTAGCAATGCTGAACTGTCGCCCTCTGAGGACGGGGAATACCGACGTCGCATGCTGCCATGGGATCTTCACCGTATCGAACTCATGTAAAACCTCCAAGATACTGCGTCTCGGTCGTGAGGTATAATCCCAGAGCTCATCCAGGAATTCGGGGTTAGTAAATTCGAGTAGTCGCTCCTTCTGCATTTCATCATTGGTGTAATGAGATATCTCCGAGAAGAACCTCCGGCGAGGGATCGTTCGGATATCTAAGTAGTCCGTGATGAGTGCGCGTAGCGTCAGCTTCGGATACGACTCCAGGTTAGGAATGGGTGGTAAAGGTAGGTCTTCGACGGAGTGCTGGCTATTAGCAGGGACCAGCGAGACCAACTGATCGGCCTGCTCTTCCCAGCCCATCATCTGAATCAGGGCTTGGACGTCCTCGGCGAAGTTCTTGGGCATAATGGAGATCATGTCGCCGGGGACATAGGTGACGGAGTCGGGGACCGTCAGGGAGACGTGTCGTACATCTTGCCAGTGCTTTGGAGGTGTCACCCTTTTATTTTGGATTAGTGTTGCAGTCAGTGTATCTGGGATTGGGCGGTGGTCATGCTCCAGTCGGGACTTTGAATCCTCAACTGAAGTGCTCTGATTCTCTGTTCCTTGAACAGCTAGGTCTGCGCTGGAGTTTGGGGTTTGATCCTGTAATTGCAGCACCCATTTTGGTGGTAATTGGACATCATCCGGTATCGGATCCTGACCTTCAGGAAGAGGGTATGTGTCCAACAAGTGCTTGCGGAAATCCGTTATCCAAGGAATAAAAGTTCCTTCCAGCCTAGAAAATCATCAATACAACGGGTAGGAACATAGGGTAGTTGACTATCGACATACCCTTCTGGGTGCTGTTGATCCGCCTCTCCACTAAGATAGGTTTCACTGGCGCCCAACTGAACCAATCTCTTACACAGCTTGCGCGAAGCCCAATTGAACCTTTCCACACGTTAGGAACCAAAGCAAACCAAGCCCAAACAGCCACACCCAACAGAAACTTAACTCACTTAGGATAAGAGCTATCCCCCAACCCAAACGACGTAAAGCTAACGCCCTGCAAAAACGTCGGCAGCAGCCTCTTCAAAAGCAAAGATCTCCAAAACGTCCGTGCATTCGCAGGTAGATCACCCTGCCCCGTCGTCGAGATCGCAAAGACAACAATAGTATACGAGCTCAATGTCTCCTGGATAACACCATTAGCCTTGACTCTATTTAACCGCCATGGCTATAGATGGGGGGGAGGGGCGCCGCACTGGTTTGACATGGTTCATCTCCAAAACCTGAGTCATGAAATGGAGGCGCTCGGCCAGAGATCCCAGCTCTTCGGCCACCTCTTGCGCATTGCCGGTTTCCGAGCCATACAGAATGAGAGCAGACCGCTTACGAGGCCCTGGGCCCTGATCCTCGCTCATAATGCAGGTGCTTTTACCGTGCTTCGTCTTGTTCGCGGGGTTTGATAACCCCTCCTTTTTTGCGGTTTTCGCTGGCGGGACGGAATGACGTCAGGCCGAAGTCGCTACATTATTTATGAAATTGTATAAAGAGCGGATTATGTGATTGTGCATTACTTGTGTATATTTCTATACTCCATAGAGGCATTCCTGGCATGGCCATCAAAACTGATGTATAACACCATCAACTACTAAGAGCAATCTCAATATAAGAATTCAATGGCCCGTTAGGCATTGAGCCAATCAAGTCCGCTCGCTTGTTCAAGTATTCCTGATCTAAGATGAATGCAAAATCCTCAAAGCAGATAGCACCACTTGGTAGACAGGTACTATACTAAGGTGAAGATAATAATCTCAGGAAAGCTTTCTCTATTAGTCCGAGTAGTCTACAAAAACATGATACCTAGAAGAATAACTTGAGGATTAATAGTGCATACAAATTACGAAATACAAAAATCTAGTGGGATAATATTAAAACCCTTTGCATTCGCACTAGGGTATAGGGAAACCTATACAAGATGGACAAAACCTATACCAGGGCCGGATTACTTTGATCAAGTCTCATATCTTTTGTCCAGTTGCAGGTCCATCTCCAGCAGTACCTACCCAATGGAACAAGAATATCTCCCTTTTGTTTATCTACCACACATAGTTAACCCAGGCACCGCTTGGCTCGTAGCAATAGATATAATCAAGCTGCTGGGGTGGGATGATGATATTTGTGCCCCTCTTAGCCTGATAGTCGGGAGGGTGGTTAGGGTGATGGCTAAAGCGTAAGATAAGCGAGCAATCCAAGCAGAAGAATGTACTGTAGGTGTAAACGTACCGCCACAAAACACAGTTCGCTGTGTTTTGGATATCAGTCAAGACTCCTCTATAAGACCAGATCGTTAGTATTGGCACATAAACACCGTAGATATGAGAACTTACGGATACTTTAATCTTGTGAGCTTTTCCGCATCGATCTCCTCCTGGTGGAAGTCGCCATTGGAGGTATAGGCAAGCTAGTCAATAGATAGTCAGCTCTGAGATCAAGTATGAGACGTGAGGTGAGCGTATACTTTAACCGATTCTCCAAGAACAGCGGAAGTGTAGAGCGCAACGGTGGCTGCGACGAGCGACTTGGTGATCTGCATGTTGAGTATTGGTGTATTAGAATTAGATATTATTAGAGAAAAATGAGAGGGATGAGTTGAGGAGTGAGTAGTTACGACGATCGAAGAGCACTGTAGCCCTTAAATATCTCTTTCTTAACATGACCTACCCAGCCAAACCGTCTATTGTGATATCATCAAGATAGTAAAGTTTACTCGATTTCCGTTTGCATTCATGGTATCCTACTTTCAGAGAAGTCAAGGTCCAGGCCTTGTATAAATTCCAGTGAGCTAGTCATCAAAATGCCCAGAAATGTCGACCTCGCAAGAACAAGACCCATACAATGACGTGAAGACAGTTGGACTCCATGGTGTTACTGGGCGATCACCGGTCATATATACACCAACAAGGTTTATTTATTTACTATCTGGCGGGGCTTGATCAAATAGAGTAGGCTTTGAGTTTTGGTCAAATAGGATGAGGTTACATTGACAGCACCGGTTCAGCTCCGATGTCATCTGTCATGGTAGAGCTTACGAGCCTGATCCACACAAATTATACCGGAATAACCGTTTCATTCTATCGGAGCCAACTATACCCATTAGCCACAGTACGATTGATTTCACAGTGCAAAGTGACCAGAGCTGAACATCTCATACATGATGCATCGCGGGGCTTCCAAAGACTCTGCAACTAGTTAGCTGTTTTGGTTAGAGGGGAACTTACTTAGTAACTGAAGCCATGTATCATGGACGACAATTACATGGCCGCACAGGTTTGAGGGCTGTCTATATTATCCACGAATATATCTAGTTCAAGGTAGCTCTATCGAGTACATGTGCTCAATAAAATAGTTCGAGAGAGCTGAGCTAGTGACAACAGTACAATTGCAGTAACGTTCTGTATCGATGGTGAAATGCTTAGATAAGTATATGAATGGGCATCCTTGTCTGTGCTTATTCTATGCTGTCTTGGCTACTAGTATATTCTTGTCCTGTCTTGGATATACTTGGTATGTTAAGTCACGTGGCACATTTTCGTATGCGATGGTCCTAGAATATATGCTTACCTTTGACAACCCATGTTCTGTGCAGCATGAGAATGAGGAAAACGAAATTATGTCAGGTCATAATCCAATGTCCATAAGCATCACTCAAAAGAAAACCAGCATGCAATTCCGCTCCATCATGCAAATGCATCCATACACAGATATGATATAGCAAAACACCGCTTATAGAAAAGAAACCATATTCGAAAGAAAGAAAAGGGTATCTCAGAAAGTGCATCCGCTCTCCCGCTTTAATAAGTATCCTCATCACCGCCACCGCCACCATCCCCGAATCCGTCGTCCCCATATTCATCATCACCGCCATCAAAGTACTGTTCAGCGTTATAGTCGCCACCCATCTCATCATCGTCATCCTCAAAGTCATCGTCCATAATCTCCTCCTCACCCTGCTCATCATCCGGTTCCAGGAGATCGTCATTCTCACCACCCTCATCATCCTCATCGCCCGTCTTCCGCCGCTTCCCGATATCTTCCTCTTCCTCTTCATCATCATCCTCGAATCCACGCTTCATCGGCGGCCGCACCATCCGCGCAACAAACCCATCCACCGCCGCACCGGCCTTGAAGTTCGGCTGAATGACCTCCCAAAGATCGTCGCGGGGGAAGTACTTCATAACTAATTCAAGCATCATTAGCAGCCACTCTCCCCTTTCTGCACTTATACTTTTAATGAAAGCAAGAAAGGGGGAAAGAAACTCACTATAAGGCCGCCCACTCAATTTCGGAATGGCTCTCTTCTTCTTCTGATACTTCCCCGAATAAGACGGCATACCGTGAAACGGATCGAAATGCTGCCTCGCCGCCTTCGTCTTCCGACCTGACAACCCCGGATCGAGAACAGAGTAGTAGGGGCCATCGTGGAACTGCTCGCGAAGAGCGCGGTACAGGTCGACTTGCTTTTGCTCGCGCTCGTTTAAGGATCGGGCTTGCGGAACGGTGTATTTCTGGGAGATAGAAGAAAGGTCCGTATAAGCATCCTGCTCTCCATCTTGTTCTCGTGTAATTGCTTTAATTGCACTTCAGTTGTGCAAGGACAAGTTAGAGGGACATACAGGGTAGAGAGGTGTAGGCGCAGTGTCTGGTTCCCCGTTAGGGTCATTGTCCCAGGTAAATTCTGCGCCGGGCAGCTTTCTGCCCTTTTTCGCTCCGAATCGGGACATGAGTGAAGCTTTAAATGTGGAGTTTTGTTATAGGTATGCTGGATTGCCCTGGGTTTTCGAAATGATATTCTGGAGTCAAGGTTTCTTTTGCGGCAGAAATGATGGATGAGGAGTAGTTTGCGGCGATCAGAAAAAAAGTTACGGCGGAGACTCGACTCACCGCCTTCCCGGATTGGTCTCAAGAGGGCAGTCAGGGCTTACGAGATATAACCCTATCGTTGTTCAAGTGAATTGAAGGATAAGTAGCGGGATATAGTTATGCTCAAATTGATTATAATCTTAATTGGTAGGTTTTGATGTAGTAATGAGAAGAACTCTTCGAGAGCGCTGACATAACGGTACAGTTCTGGTGATGCATCGCTTGGGCAATACAGACTTTATAGACCAACAGTCTCAACTTGGTTTCCACTCTGTGTTACTGGTCCCCATGGTCCTTCGTTTACCCTCTGCTGCAGTGTGCGCATTATATCCTCAAATCCTGCTATCTCACCGCCGGTTTCCTTGAGATGATCGTGCAATGCCACTAGCACCTCGTATTTCGCTGTTGCAACTTTCCAAACTGCGTTTTGTGAATCACCTGCGCCACCTCCAACAAACTCGGCATACGAGCGGGGTGCCTTGAAAAGATAAGGTAAAAGGACAGTCAAAGCCGGTGGGGTGAGAGCTGCCCAGGCCCCCGATGAAGGAAGGACTCCTTGAGAAGCTGGGGACAGGCTGCCCAAACCCTGTTCAGAGGGAAGCTGGTACCGGGATGTGCCTGGAACAGAAGAAGTCACTTCCCTGGAGAGCTTCTCCCAGTTCGCTGTGATAATCGCTCTCATGAAGGAGATGGCTGCTAGAGAGACGTCCTTCATGGCCAAAATGTCAGCCGCAGCGACGACATCCGTCCAGAAAGTGCTGTGCTGGTTCAAGTACATAAAGTAAAGTATCCGAGCTGCTGCTGCCTCTTTATGCCAATCTGTGGCTGTCTGACCAGAGGTATTGAGCTCCATCGTATCGGCAAGGTACAGTTTCGAAGGGCCGTGAAGAATTTTGCTCAACACATCTAATGCCTCCTTGTTGGGTGGGCTCGTGGGAAGAGCAAGAACGGCGTTTAGGCCCTGTTTAGTAGCATCCACAAGCAAAACTCGGGGAATGCAGGAAAGCACATTGAGTTGGCCGCTTGGGACAGGCCCATGTGCCCACTGGGCGGATGAGATCGTTACTGATGCGGAAATCCGTGATAGAATTCGATCTAATAGATGCTTGGGGTTCTGTAGAAAATGATTAGGATACAACTCCGCATACTGCGCAACGTAAGCCATGATAGGACCACATAGATAGTTCAGATCCACAGGATCCAATTTCGACTCGTCCAAGTAGTAGCTCAGGAGAGAGGAATGTATGTCGTGCAAAATAAGGAAGTCAAGAGCGGGGGACGAGAAGGTAGATGCCGCTTGGACAAAGGACCGAGCAGTAAGGCCCGGGGCTTGGATCTCAAGGAGGTCATGGAAGAAATTCAGCAAGGTCATATGCATTAGAACGTCAGTTCTGTCGACCATTTCACAAGCCGCAAAATGCAGAAGGCTGCTACTGTTGTATCTAGTTTCAATATCCGGTATTTGTGAGCTTGAGATAATGTCCCAGCGCAGGTTGCCAGCCTTCGTAAGGAAGCCCATCAGACGGCCTTGGGCTACGGTTTTGTCGCGTTTCGAAAGGCTTCCAGGGCCGTTCTCGGTGAGACTGCACAATGAAAATAAGCGTCCATAAACGTCTCTGTCCGTGAAAATCCTTCTCCACACGAGGCCCTGCCCTCCAGTAGCCTCTTGGCCTTCATTGGCACCTTCCCCATTCTCTAGAGGACTTGTCAGATCAACTTCTAGTAGTGCCCAGATAGCATCGAAAGCAGCCTGAGCGACGGCAGTTGAAGAGGTCGAGAGCCAGAGTTCCACCAATGAAGCGACCAGTTCGGAGTCACCGGCCACTATGGCGGCGTCGCTGGGCGTCTGTCCCGCCTTGCTCAGTAAAGCTAAAGCTAGTGAATTGATGGGTGGCGACGGTGCCTTGAAGCCCGCAATGAAATCGATCGGAGGATCAACCAAACGGAGATCATTGAAGCTAGTATATGCTGTAGCCTTAATAGCAAGAGAAGTGATAGGAGTGGGATCTTCTTGGAGCACAGGAAGCAGCTGCGAGATCAGCGGCAAGAGAGTTGCAGGGACACTGCTGTCCGTACTCTCTGTAAGCTGCAGCTTCAGTTTGTCAATGATGGGAATGTCTAAGCGAATGGAGGGGTCACGTAGGACTTGTTGCAGGTGAAGTTTCACCTCATCATACGTTGATGGTAATGCCATTTTGTCTGAAATGTTTCACTCTCTAGCGACCCTCTCCCACAGCTGATGGATAGACAGAAGATGGTTGCTCAGGAACGCCGCATCTATCCTCTGTGATAGTGGGGAAGCTCCATGCAAACACGACAAACAACGAAGATAGCTCCGCACTCTCCATGCTTTAGTTCCTTTACCAGTCAACCTCAACTATCTACAGTTCCAGGAACAGCTATATTGTTGCCCCTCCGGTTGTTTCTCGCCGACTTCCAAGATGACAGAACAATTAAGTTCACTCGTATCCCAAAAGTCGTCCGACTCGGGCCTCCATATTCAACTTCACCCTTTGATCCTCCTCACGATCTCGGACCACATTACTAGACATGCCGCAAGATTACAGCAAGGCCCAATCCTCGGAGCTCTGCTCGGGCAACAAAACGGGCGCGAGATAACACTAGAGCACGCTTTCGAATGTATTGTGGAAGAAGGTCCAAATGGCGAGCCCCAACTACCAAATGAATGGTTTAATGAACGAGTCAAACAATGTAAGTCCAACATACGTCACACTCCCAACGCCGGCTGACAACGAATGTCATAGTCAAGGATGTACATAAAGTCCCTGCCCTTGATATTGTCGGATGGTGGTCAACAGCTCCCCCATCCGGTCCAGACGCAACTCATCTACCGATTCATCGCCAAATCCTCCAAGATCATAACGAATCCGCGGTATTTCTCGCATTCCACCCTTCTCAAGTGAAGGGCGCATCAGCAAACGGCGGTAAACTACCATTAACAGTCTACGAGAGCGTATACGAGGGCGAAAATGCCACAGAAAGCGAGAAAACGATGCAAGTAGATGGCGAGGAACAGTCGTTGAGCATACGATTCCGAGAACTGCCATATTTCGTCGAAACCGGGGAGGCCGAGATGATAGGTATCGATACTGTCGCTAGAACTGCGAGAAATGCAGCCGTTGAAGGGCCGAGCGCACTCTCCGCAGCAAAAGAAGTGCTGAAGAAGAAAACCGACAAGAAGGAACAGCCGGCCGATACTGTGGTGCTTTCGCCGGAGGAAGAAGAACGTGAGTTTATCCCGTGCGCGGAACCAACGTCCAATCACTAATATGGTATGCTCTCGCAGTGATCGCCAGTCTCAACACCCGACTCAATGCGATCCGGACACTAGAATCTCGAATCTCGTTGATAAAATCATACGTCGCTAGTATATCTCCAGCATCTGAAGGTGGTAACCAAGGGAACACAACATCATCAACGGCGACTCTATCTCACCCGATTCTCCGCAACATCAACTCCCTCCTCTCACACTTGTCCTTACTCTCTCCTCAAGAACAGAGTGCATTCTCAGCTGAGGTCCTCGCTCAGAGCAACGATGTTCACCTAGTCGCACTCCTCGGCCAACTAAGCAGCAGCATCAACAGCATGCGCGAACTAGGAAAGAGGACCGCTATTCTCAACAATGTACGAAGAACTAATGCGAACCGAAAGACGCAAATGTCCATGCAAAGCCGGTTCGAGGAAGAACTTTTCGCCCGTGATGGTATTGCCCACGGATAAGCGATGGCTAGACTTAGAATAAGTTTGTTGGCCTTAGGGCTTATGATGATTATCAACTCAATTCCTAGGTGGTTTACAGTGGCGTTTGGTCTTATTAGAACAACTTATCATGAGGAATGAAGACAATATCTTACGAGGTAGATTTCTATATTCCTGTACACTCTTCTTCCGACCGTAGAGGTCAACATTATAGATAGTGGTCTGTCTATTGGACTGGTCTCCATTATATCCTAGGGGTATCTAGATATAATCATGTACAATCGAATCTTGAAGCCAAAGAGTATCATATACAAAAAAAGGCCAAAAAGACATAGTCGCGAGACTTCGTCCCATGACCATGTGTACTCCGTAGAAATGAAGCAAATGGTAAAACATAAATAGGGTATTCTGAACATAAATCAAGCCATGCATGGAATCAACGCCAAACATGTGACTTCATTACACATGATATGAGATCAACATAGAGCGCTCAAAAGCCTATTGTTGGTTAGAAATCTCGGTTTGCCCGGCCCCCACCATGAGACAGAGGGTGATACGATTCAGGCATAGGCATCGGTGGTTGCTCCTGTAGCGCATCCGGTGGGTAAGGAGCGTTGTGATAAGTTGTAGGGCTCGTGTGGTGATGGTCAGACTCCGAGTCGGATGGGACAATATAAGGATTGTTGAAAGGATTATCATAAGGCGAGTACGGGCGTGGTGAGTGGGTAGCTGGATCCAGTAAGACCGAGCTGCTTATTCTATTGTGAGACGGGTAGTCGTGCCCATGATCAACATCGTCGTAGGGTGGAGGATCCAATCTCGGGTCGCCTTCAGGTCGCGCTGTTGGATTCGGCTGTGCATTTGAAAGGAGAACTTCTCCTTCTTCGTCGGGAGTATAGCGCCCTTGTCGCCCGCTACTCATCATCGCACCTGCGCCCTGGTAGGCTGTCGCATTGGTTTCACCAGTACCATCAAGTCCGATCGCTTCGTTGTGAGTTCGATAGCTAGGGTCGAGCATTCGCTTCTTGCGACCAACGAAAAGCCAGCGCATGCTGCGGCTAACAGCCTTCACGAGGTCCCAAGGATTAAGACAATCGACAAGGGCCTTCATACCCCAACGGCCACCTTGGTAAGTTGCTTTGCCGTTTCCGTAGAAGTCGGTCACCTCGACTGCAGTATTTCCGATCGAGTAGGGCTTCCACGAGAAAGCCCATAGGTGCAGAACGGCAAAGATAGCCATTTCAATCGAGATAAGCAAATTGGGAAGTCCGACCTTGAGATCCTGTTCTGCCATCTTTTTAGTAGCCTTGATTGCTCCCGCGGAGAATAGGAAGCTAATGCATATCTGAATACCAAATTAGACATTGTGGACGAGGGGCCGGTAAAAGGTATGTACTCACACTTTGCCAGAAAGAAAGGAAAATCACAAGTTTAATCGAAAGAATCTTCAAGAAGGGGTTGTACCGGCTAATGTCATCTTTGACCTGGACATAGAACTGAATCAGGCAGTACATTGCAATAGTGACGGCAACACACTCGACAGCCATGACCTATTGAGCCCAATTAGTTTGGAATCGAAAGGTTACCGGTTTCTTGAACTATACCCAGATGTGAGAAAATGCTGGATTCAGTGATTCCTCGCAGTACACATTGAAATGCTGCGTGATGACCGCGACGATAGTCATGAGGACACGCAGTAGACAATACTGAAAGACGGACACCCAAACGATCTAAGTGAAACAACCTGGTTAGTATAGATAGCCCTGTTCAACACCCACTAGCCATAGAGGTGCCGTCAGCATCTCACATTAAACCAGGTCAATCCGCTTCGCGGGGTCCTCCATATCCCCCGCTCCCCACCACAACACCTTTTAAACCAGGTCAGTGGCCAGAGCCATGGCTTTGGGTCAATTCCGCGAAAGTATTCCTTCTGACTCCGCAAGTCTGGCGCAATGTAGTGGCAGAGCAGGGCGAAAAAAGCCGATATCGTGAACGCCTCGTAGCAATCGCCGATCACCGAGAAGTAAACGGAGTTTCTGTAGAAATAGATGCTGAGCCATGCGACGAGGGAATAAACCGGGACCATGAGGAGGATGCGGATAATACTATGACACAAGAAATACCGTTAGTGTCTACTATCATGAAAAACCAAGGGGAGGGCGGTAGTAGAGATGGGGCCATACTGTCGTTGCTCGATGGGTTTGCTGTAATGCGTGGCATGGCACATAATCAAGAAAAAGGAGACTGCTGCGGCTATGAGCGCGAACACGCCGCCAACAATCTCGCAGAGACGGTGGAAGGTAATGCCGCCATTCCACAGGTCTGTCTCTTCAACTGTGGTTCGAATCTCCTGTTCAGCTTGTGATCTTGAAGGGGTCAGGAATTGGGAGCGTACTGGTTGCCTCTTCCAGTGTCGAATTACACACTGGCCAGCCCATTTTAGCGCCAGATCGTGAGACCTGTAACAGAAAATACAGGTCTCGGTTGGTTGAAAAAGCAAAAGGTGGTGAGTAAGTCAGGTCAGAACGAAGAATACTTTTTGAGATGTTTATCCGCGTGCAGCAGGAGGCAGCGCTATCTTATCCGCCCCGTCGGTTTGTTCCGAAGTGGCCGACCCCCTGGGAACCAACTGAGCTTCTTTCTTCTTTGTCGGTTTCGCAACGTCAACGGGCGTTTGTGTCGCGACAATGTCCCTGGAAGAAATGACCAGAATATCGCATCGGTGATTTCATTCAGATAGTTGAAAAAGCAGGAAGGAACAACGCATGACAATAAAAAAGAAAAGTCATCGAGGGATCGGCAAGAACCAATCTACTAGTATAGCCAGAAAACAAAGAGGACTGTCCACAAAGCTGAGCACTTGGCTCGCCGAAAATAGTTGCCTATGTTGGCCTCAACGTGTGGAGCATTCATCGTGGCGGTGATCATTCCCAAGAATTATTTTGGTCCTGTGCATCAGACTGCGCCTCGGAACACGAAGCATTGGCTCCCAATCAAGAATAAGGCCCAGCAAGCACAAGAAACGCTAAGCTTTCACCAAGCCCCGATGACTAAGGCTATATCAAACAAATCCTAGTAAGAAATATACTTGAAAGAGAAAATGGCAGTAGGACAAGGAAACGGGAAAGAGCATCTCCCGGTGTCATCATAATTTCTCGGTTTTTTCAGTAATATACATTCCTAAGCGCCCATCCGGCAGTTTTCAGCCCTATATTGTACACGTCATTAACCCTAGCCAACATCACAAGAAAGTAAGCCATAGCTTGGCCGGATTTTTAATCTGAGAATAGAGCCCATATAGCACATGATATCATCGCCAGTTCAAGAACGTTCTTCAAGGACGACCTGTTCGGTCGCCCCTCCAGGAGTCCCCAAAGCCACCTCGACCTCGCCCCCGACCACCTCGTCGCCGATTCCGACCGCCAAATTCAGGGCCATTGTCCACAAACAAGTCGCCGTCCTCGAATGATATCCGGCGAGTCTCGTCGCCGCCGGGACGAGGATATGATCCTTTTCGCAGCAGATCATCGAATCGGTCTAAACGCCGATCCGCCACGTCGCGAGGGACAGGAAGATAGTACAGTTTCGGCTTGGTGGTAGTAGACATGAATAGCTCATCGAGTGGTTTGAATCCTTGCCCAGGTCGAGAGCTGGGTTCTGCTTGTGAAGGGCCACTAGGCCGTCGGTCTTTCTTCTCCATATCCGCTCGTGGGCCCAACGGTGGGGGCCGAGAAAAGTCACTTGGCGCCGGTCCTTGGGCTGGACGGGGTCCCGCATTCTTCGGGTCAATTTCCTCCAAGACAGCCTCCACTCCGTCGTCAGTTCGGTCGTACTTTACCTCCCAGCGAGCTGGAGGGCCGCTACGTCCACGAGAATTCTCTTCGGTATCAATCCATTGATGTAACTTTTGTTCGGGAATGAAGTCCACAAACAAAGTTTTGCGGTTCCGCTCATTTGGCCAAACAGTATTGTGAAGAGCAGCACGGGCACGAGACGCTGCTGTAACGCTTGTAAAGTTGACAAAACAATGTGTCTTGATGGAATCCAGGTAGAAATCAACAACGACGTCGGGATCAGGTGAGACACCAGGGGGTGATGCAATATTAATAAGGTGACTCTTAAGAGCAGCCGGTTGAAGCGGGCGCATCAGGCCACCCACATACAGTGCTGCTGTCGCAACATGCAAGGCCGGCTCAACTTCCGCATCTTCAGTTATGGTATCTGCGGGGGGAGATGCAGGGCGGGTCTGTTCCGTCTCGCCAGCTGCAAAGAGGCCCTTGAAACGAACGTCTTGTTTCGGCGCGGTACTCTTCTTGCTTCGTGAGTTATCGGAGCTAGAAGGGGGATGTGAATCATCATGAGGCACAGTAGCTTGTTCATCAGGTTGATTGACATTGACATGCTCTTCTGAAGGCTCTTGCAAGACAGGAACAGTTTCGTCCGATTTGGTGACCCCATCAATATCCATCGCGCCGCTGTCCTCCGACAAGAGAACCCTAGGGGCTTCTGCTGGAAGCTTCGCCTTTTTGTTCGCCTGCGCTTCGGGTGTAGGAACAGGACTTTGACTGCGACGCTTCCTTTTTCGAAAGTCTTCAATAAGCTCCTCGGCGGGGAGGGGCGTGGATACTCCGGTAGCCAGTTCTGAGGGGGGTGCAGCAGCTGGCGCAACCTTTTCAGCAGGCTCAGTCTGGCCTGTGCTTTCTTCCTTCGTAGGTGTAGGTTCCTTCTCTTCCACATTGCCGGGAGCCTGCTCAACCGGTTGCGTCAAAGTGTCAGTTTCAGGTTTGGCTTCTGCTAGTTCTGCCGGCTCCGATTTGGATGGTGGCTCTCGTTCCTTCTCAGTAGGAGCGTCGGCATCTTGTGTCACATCTGCAGTCTTCTGTTCGGCTTGCGTTTCACTAATATCAGTACCTGGCACTTCTTTATCCTGCTGTTGTTCCTGTACTTGTTCTTCAGGCTTGGGGCTGTGTGACTCTGCAGCATCCACGGCAGGCGGCGTAGGTTGTTTCTCCTTGGCGGGTTGTGACTCCTCAACAGCATTCTGTGTCGCAGTAGTATCTTCCTTCGCGACTGGGCTCTCGGCACCCTTCGCGTCTTCCTCCACGAGTCTGTCAATAAATTGCTGTTTGACTCTGAGGCCGGTCTGCGCAATGCCGCGTCGCTTCAGTTCCGCCTTCAGTTCAGTCACTTTCCATGTCGAGTAATCGGTCATGTTGACGAATATCGCGCGCGGTTAGAAACGGGGTCATGTAAGATAGTAGGTAGAGATATATTCACGGAGCGGATGTCGTTGGGGTTGTCAGGGCCATAGTAGTTTGCGATGCGATTGCCCCTGCGGTCGGACTCCAGGCCGAGTTGTTTCAAAGCTTTGGGCGGAATGATGTAGCACACTAACCGGATGTGGATTAATGTCATCAATGACCATTCCCTTCGGGTTTAGCGCCTTTCCCCGATTGACTTTGAATATGCTTCCATTCTGTCAGTTCTCCTTAAAACAAACTATACATTCCGGTGATCAGATATGTTCTGCTTAGATGGTGGCCAATAGATCAATAATTATTGTCGAGCGCATCTATCTTCTTGCTTGTTTTTCTATTCATACCGATAGTCTTGTTCACCCCCAAACAGGAATATCAAGACAAATAAAAAATATATTGATACCAGCCACAGTATTTCATCTGGTGCAAACCCAAGTAGTAACCATGCAACCACTGATGTTTGGAACCCGTCAAATAGTCCTTAGTCAATAGAAACTGGCAGTACTATCCTTATAATGAATCTCTGAAACTCACAGAGTATTTCTTGCAGCACTAAGTATGGGAATACGGGAATCCTGATGCATCGGTTCACTGTGATTGGTTACTTTGAGAGCAACAAGCATGTATACGAACACTTAGTAAAGCCTGAGTACGAACAGTGACTCAACTCACCATATTATAAAAGTTGAAACCAGCCATCATCTTCAGACCTAATTTCCTTCTTTCATTATTTTTAACTCCCTATCGCTATCTACCTGTAAATCTAACCTTTCCCCCAACTACTAACCATGGCAATCAAAACCGCCCAAAACAACCTCGCCATCCACTTCCGCAACCTCCACATCCCAGGCCACCCAATCCTCCTTACAAACGTCTACGATGCAGCAACAGCCTCTTTGATCGCAAACCACCCCTCCACAAAAGCAATCGCAACCGCAAGCTACGCCATCGCAGCCTCCCAAGGCATTCCCGACGAAGCTCTAACCCTACCCCGAAACCTCGCCGCCGTTCGCTCCATAGCAGCTATCTTAAAACCCAATACGCTTCCAGAAAATAAAGACTCCACCGAAAACACAACAAAGCTTCCCCTAACAGTCGACGTCCAAGACGGCTACGCAGATGTCGCCGAAACGATCAGAGAGATCATCAGCGTGGGCGCAGTAGGGTGCAACATTGAAGATCTAGACGGTGCTACGGGCCAGTTACGGCCTTTGTCAGAGGCCGTGGCGCGGATTGAACTGGCAGTGCGGACTGCGGCGGAGCTCGGCGTTCCTGATTTTGTGGTCAATGCCAGGACGGATGTCCTGGGGGATAACCCCGGTGGCAAACCGGGAAGTATTCAAGATGCTATTGAGAGGGGGAGGGCTTTTTTGAAGGCCGGGGCTTGTACTGTATTTGTTTGGGGTGGGGCGGGTGGAAGGGGAGTGTCGAAGGAGGAGATTAAAGAGTTGGCTGTGGCTTTTCAGGGGAGGTTGAATGTGAAGCTGGTGCTGCGAGATGGGTTTTTGACAGTACCGGAGGTGAAGGAACTGGGTGTTGCGAGGATTAGCTTGGGGCCAGAGCTGTATCGAGCTGCGATGAGTGGGTTTATGCAGAAGGCTGATGCGGTGCTGGCTTCTAATAGTTGAATGTTATATAGAGGATGTTGGTTTAGTAAACGATTACTTCTATTTGGTCCGTGTACATCAAAAGGGAAGAGAGATACGAGAGTATAAGCCAGAAATGATAAGTACAGGCAGAATACAGTATTGTTAGGTTGAGTGATAGTAGGGAATTCGTTAGGTCAGATGAATAACCCCGCATTAGTACACGACTGATCACTTCAGCATAGACTCTTTTAGTCCGACAAGACTAGGACATCGGTGTTTGATGTTCGTATACTACTCTGTACTCCTCGCAATCAAGTGCTCTGATGTGAGACCATAAAGGGAGCAGTAGAAACCGACAGAAAATTACAATCTTCAAGTTACCTCTAAATATGGGATCCCATCGACGTCTTCCCTCCTTCCTGCCAGTTGATAATCCTACTCGGCCGTTTTGGCGCACAAAACCTCACCCACTAGATGAGCTCCGAAGTACAGAAACTCTTCCAGACCAGAGTGATATCGTCATTATAGGGGCCGGCTATTCTGGTGTTAGCATTGCATATCACCTCCTGAAACATTTCGAAGGCCACAATAAGTCTCTCCCCGCTATTACTATTCTTGAAGCGAGGCAGATTTGCTCTGGTGCAACTGGTCGAAACGGTAAGTTGCTTAGAAAATCATTCTCCAGCTACCTATCCTGACTATGGGCTTAGGCGGTCACCTACGACCCGACTTGTATGACCGTATCCCTACCTATATTAAGAGACATGGAGTGGATGCTGCCGCTGAGGTGGCCAACTTTGAACTCAGCCATATAAAAGCATTCAAGGATCTCCTTGCGGAAGAAAACGTTGACTGTGACTTCAATATCACTCGGTGTTTGAGTGTTTATTTGGATGAAGCGGCAGGAGAAAATGCAAGAAAGAACTGTGAAGACCTAGTGTCACGAGGCCTAGATTTTGCAGACGACATACACTACACACCATCAAAGAATGCACAAGGGGTAAGGGTATTTCAAAGTTCTCGTGTCCCAAAGAAAGCTATTCAGCTAAGACGCATATTCTACCCAGATTTCCGGAATCAAAGATGCCAAAGCATGCCTCTCGTACACGTCCGGTACCTTGTGGCCCTACAAGCTTATATTGGGTCTCCTTTCAAAGATTGCGGACTCGCCTGCCGTTAATGTGCAAGCATTTACCCCGGTTATTTCCGTAGTATCTGACAATTCCGGTCATGTTATCCATACTCCGCGGGGAACTGTCCGCACGTCTAAAGTTGTCTACGCCTCAAATGCATACACCTCCGGCCTGCTGCCCGAGTATTCAGCTAGTATAGTTCCCTGTCGTGGAATATGTTGCCATATTGGGATTCCGGACGGTAAAACCGCACCATTCTTGCCCTACTCTTATGTCATTGGCACGAAGACTGGCGAAAGCGGCGGCAGCTACCTGATCTCGAGGCCGGACGGAAGTATTATCGTTGGGGGTGCGCAGCGCACATTCATGGATCAGAAAGACCAGTGGTATGGGATAATTGATGACAGCACGCTGATAGAACCAGCTAAGGACTATTACAATGACTTTATGCAGCGTACATTCAAAGGCTGGGAGGATAGTGGGGCCTACGTAAAGGAGATTTGGACAGGCAGTGAGTGTTTCCGAGCTGGATGATATCCATTGGGATGGGACTGATACTAACAAACCATCTTCTACAACAGTTATGGGGTATTCGTATGATACTAGCCCACATGTGGGTGAAGTTCCCGGTAAACCTGGGCAATACATTTGTGCCGGATTCGATGGTCATGGCATGCCAGTGATCTTCCTGAGCGCGAAAGGACTTGCTGACATGATCCATCATGGTAAGAGCTTCGAGGATGTTCACTTGCCTCGACTCTACAAGTCAACGGCGGCGAGGATAACGAACGCACGGGATGGACCGGAAGGAGGTGACATATTCAATTTGAATTGATGACAACACAATACTAGTCTTTTGATCGTACAATTGGATGCTACATAGAGTAGTATATTCCGGAGTAAGTAACTATATGGGGACTCTCGGCATATCAAAGTGCAGCACAGCTCCGAGTGGCAATCCCGCGGGATTAATTTACCAGGGACGGAAAAACAGTGAAGCCGCCGAGGTCGGGGTCAAGGAATTTCAAGTGTTCCTATTGGTCCCGTATGACGAATACGCTCTTCCAGTGGGTCAGGCTCCAAAGAGTCATAATTGAGATCGGTCTGCACATCTCTTCTTCTGATTTTCTTCCTCTCCCATCTCGTTTGTTTGTGAAAAAGTTCTTTGTCTCAAATAACATTTGTTTTTGTTTGACCTTGATTTCGTTTCTTTTCCCTGAACGAATTGTTCAAAATGGCCACTGAATCGAACGGTGCGCCTGCACAACCCCGTCAGTAATTCCCATGCCCCACTATGACTTATGAAAATGAACAGCTACTAAATCCCGTAGAGAGACTCGACTCTCAACCTGAGAACCCCTTCTCAAACCTCATCGCGGATCAGTTATTTGTTTCGATCCCTTCGTTTACTTTGGAATCGGGCGTTACGTTGTACAATGTGCCAGTGGCCTACACCACGCGGGGTCAGCTGTCCGAGACCGGAGACAATGCCTTGGTGATCTGTCACGCTCTGAGCGGTAGTGCGGATGTCGCAGATTGGTGGGGTCCACTTCTGGGTGGCCCCGGACAAGCCTTCGACACATCTCGATTTTTCGTGATCTGCTTGAACAGTCTGGGTAGTCCGTACGGAAGCGCCAGTGCCGTGACCTACAAGGATGGAAATCCAGAAAAGGGATTGTATGGACCAGAGTTTCCACTTACTACAGTTCGTGATGATGTGAGGTATGTGATTGACTATGTGGGGAATGTCGAAGTGTGCAAAGCAACTCACACAAAGTATAGGATCCACAAGATCGTTCTGGATCATCTGGGAATCCGACAGATTGCTGCAGTTGTGGGTGGCTCCATGGGCGGTATGCTCACTCTGGAATATGCATATTTCGGCAAAGATTATGTACGAGCGATTGTACCGATTGCTACCTCTCCGCGGCATTCCGCATGGTGCATCAGTTGGGGAGAAGCCCAGCGCCAAAGCATCTATAGCGACCCTAAATACGAGGACGGCTATTATTCTTTTGATGACCCTCCTGCTACTGGTCTTGGCGCAGCTCGCATGTCCGCTCTTCTTACCTACCGGAGCCGCAATTCGTTCGAATCTCGGTTTGGGCGAAATGTTCCGGACCCCACCAAGCAGCAAAACATCAAGGGCACTGAAAAGCTGCCGACACCCCCGAACGAGCACTGGGCTATCCATAATGATGGGCACAAAGGCGGTCGTTCGACGCCGAGTGGGCGCAACTCTCCCACCGCTTCCACACCACAACAGACTGAAATTCAGTACATGGACCCCCAGTTCTCCGGGGCCAAAACATTCAGTAAAACCGTTGATACCGCACTGAAGAGCGGTCAGAAACGTCCGCCAACCTATTTCTCCGCCCAGTCGTATCTTCGTTACCAGGGAGAGAAGTTTGTGAAACGGTTCGACGCTAACTGTTACATTGCTATCACACGTAAACTGGACACCCATGACGTGTCAAGGCAACGGGCGAGCCCGACGTCGAGCGATCCAGTCCGCGAGGCTCTTGCGCAAATCCAACAGCCAGCATTGGTTTTGGGAATTGAGAGTGACGGCCTCTTCACTTTCGAGGAGCAGAAAGAGATTGCAGCTGGCATTCCGGACTCGCGCCTCAAACGTATCGAAAGCCCCGAAGGACATGATGCTTTCCTCCTCCAGTTTGAGCAAGTCAATCGCTACATTCTGGAGTTCTTCCGCGAAGTCTTGCCGGACATCATGTCCAAAGCTCCAGCGGATGGGGCTGTGGAGGTGGACGGTGTGAATAAGCTAACCAAGAGCAGCACATTCGGAGAGGCGGAGGTGGAAGATATCACCGCCTGGTAAAGCGATAAGAATGGTATCTTAACCTTTTTGGCGCATACGTTGCAGCCTTAGTCTTATCGATCGATGCTCCATGGACCACCAAGGGTCTCCGTACCTTCTCTCGTTTTAACAACCGAGAGAGAGGGTACGCCGCGGGCCCTCATCCCGCTCGCATCGAGTTTTCCGGGGAAGTAGCGGTGCAGTCTTTGTTATTTTTTCTCTTAGCCAGTCAGAGAGTTGAGCATCCAACTGCCTCTCTCGTACCTCACTAACAGGTAAGGCTGTAAAAGAAGCATCCAACTGCTCTCCATCAATAACCCTTTCCAAAGTGATCTCGCTCAACTAGGGAGTCCTTCTTAGGGTGGTGGGCGATCTTTCAACATAATCAATAGATCTTCCATTAGCATAATAGATAGATGTCAACCATCAATGCTAGAAAACATGTGAATTGAATTGTTTGATTTGGGATTTAATATCATCCTTGGTAAAGAATGACAGAACTAGGTTGTAAAGATTGTGTCCGTTCAGGACAAGCCTTAGGCGTTACTCCCAACTCCTTACGATACTCAACAAGAGGCCCCGCTGGTTTGCACGTACGGCACAAAAATGATTTGGGGGTTCAATTAGTCTTTCAGAGAAGGCAACTAAAAGGTAAAATAAAACGATGAGACTTTCAGAAAGTATATGGGCAAAAAAGAGATCCGTGCATCATCCGTGAATCGAACACGGGCCTCATCGATGGCAACGATGAATTCTACCACTAGACCAATGATGCCTATTTGATGTAACACTCCACCGTTTAAAAAGCTATGGGTAAGAAGGATGCTAGCACTAGCTTCAGGAAAGAGCAGAGAAGCTCCAAAGCTACTGTGAAATCAATGCTGCAAACCTGCCTAAAGGGCCAACTAGTCATTGGACGATCTTGAACGCCCGATTCCAGATATCGTTGAAGAGCCCAACAGCCGCATCTTCCTTGGTAGGATCTGCAATAAAGCACAGATCACGCATATTCCTCAAGCACGATGACGGCGGTTCCGTCAAGCAATCCTGTCGCAGGCTTTCAACGGACCACCACAGACATATGATACCAGATGCAGATTCCTGGTCTTGTGCCTTGATGATGACTTGAGCGGTGATGTCAGGAACCCTGAACACCGTGACAAGTCATAATCTGCAGCGTGTTGCTGGTCAGGACATCTTTTAGCTTTGTGGGGAAGCGCATTCGTTGACCGTCCCATTTCTAGCTTTCCGCCCAAGGTCACGCCGGTTGTCCATCCATGGAAAATGGCGGCAAGCATCGCGGTAGAGGTTTGCCTCTTAAAGGCCTGAGCCCATGTCGATGCACTCTCTGCCTTAATCTCTGGTCAGCCAACAGAACTCAATTCTTCATGAAAAAATCTGGGGAACGCATGACCCCAAATGAAAGTTGAAGCTAAAGTGCGGGGTATTATCCTGGAGGATTCTGAAGATGGAGATTCCGTGCGCAAGCCGCGGGAACAGTTGGGGAAGAAAGACTCAGATCGGCGGCTCCTTCCGTGCGTTTGCCGGGGGACCTCGGGCATGTGATACGTGTAATAATAACAGGCTTTCTGCTAATGCTCGCCTCTTTTCTTTTTCTCCTTCGTTTGGCTTTTCTGGGCTAATATGGGGCCACACGAAGTAGGATCCAAAGTGCATGGGCCGATTCGTCCTTGTCATTCTCCTTTAACCGCGGAATTTACAGACCTATGCACACACAAGGGACATACCTATGGCGAAATTATTGATTGTCGTACATGGACGTAAATGTTGATCCGTCGAATATAGGTAATACTATTGGAGCTGGGATGATGCAGGGAACCGTATGTTTGTATATGTTTATAATGTCTTTGGATCTTGAATTTCTATGTGGATCCTGTAGCTCCCGTCGGCCGTTCGAGACATTTGGTGCACACGAAGCGTACGGACTCAACAGAGTAACATCGGTAAAGAGACTTGCTCCTTCAAGAAAGAAAAAGAAAATTTTTCTCATGCAGGAAATGGATCCAGAGTTTATAGTCTCCCTGCATAACCAATGGGGTGACTGGGTCTGTCATTGAGGTCGTGGGGCAATGATTTGGAAGTGCCCGATTGGGAGGATAATGGACGATCTCTATCTCGGGCGTTCATCGGCCGACCCCTTGATTCCCCCCTTTTGCCTCCTGGCTTGCAAACAGACGAAGGGATTCAGTAAGAGAAAACGCATTGTGCGACTGCGAGGTATGGCAGAACAACAATGCCCTTCTCAGCCTGAACACTGATGGTGCTATGAGATGTAAGGTGGTGAATATGAGCTGTCTCTCCCCGGGCTTATTGATCCAGATGATCTCCCGGCCCACCCCAGGTAATGTGGAGAAAGCCGTTCCTTGTTTCATTTGATGATCATTGAACTAACTCCCCAGTTTGGAGTTAATGCACCTTCAGGAGGGTCCGGATTCGGTTTTCATGCTCAAGTCAGTTCACAGGAGGTGGCATCCCTTGGGCGCCATTGGGGTTATTGGTCTTGACCCAGGAAAGGTAATGCATGTTTTTGTTTCAAGCTCCCCTAGGCAATGACTCCCGAGTCTAACAGTCTGAAGCTGTTATTATGACTTTCATAGTTTGAGGGACTCAAAAGTGTGATCAGGGTTACATTGTCCCGTGATAATGGCGTTCACCCATTGTTAACCGTTTTTCTTTCGCTTCCTTCTCTCGGTGATACACTCCACTTGCGCCGCAGCCACTCTTTTGGCCATGTCCTCGGAAAGCATTTTATGTCTCATGTGTTAACCGAGCTTGTGATTCTCATTCCCTCCTCCACTGGAGCTGCGGTATCCATTTGCCCTGTCGCCTTGTATTGATACCGGAATTCCCTCATGCATTGCTTGCGACCCGGCGCTTTATTGACACCAAACGCTTTCCGTGTTACTATTCAATTTCTTTCGTCATAGGATGGTACTCATCTTGGCCTCAGATCTGGATCTGGAATCTTTTTTTTAGCCACATTCCTTTGATATAAGCCTAGTTGGGCTGCCCCCACATTCCAGGCCATCGCTTCAGGCAACTTCGACTTTCATTCTGGAACACCTTCCGTAAACGATATATTTTCTACTATTTTCATTTGTGATCGACTTGGTAGTTCATTTGTCCATTGTTGAGACTGGTTGCCTACGCTTTGTTGCACTGTCGAATTGAAATTGTTAAGGCTGCCTGGTCAAAGACCATACGTATAGTCGAATAAACCGACATCGCCCAGTGAATAGTGATCACTGTCCTCTCGTTTCCTCTCCACTCGGACAATTTCAGTGCCCTCTTTCAATCAAGTGTGTTTCACTTCTCTCGTGGCCGTATTCTTGTTCAGTGTTCCGGTCATCCACAATGGAATCGATTCTCAGGAGAAAAGGCACGTCTATGAATAGGCGTGGATCTATTTCTCAGCTGTTACATATACAAGTGAGTATACCCTAGACCATCGCTTCCCTTCATAACTGAGGCTCATAAACACTCCCTAGAAACCCACATTCTCAGTACTCCAGGAACAACCTACTCGATATTATGATTTTGTGGACTCCCCCGGCTATAATGAGCCATCATCGCCTTCAACCCATCGTCAATACATTAGCCCAGAGCTAGAGTCAGACATTAGATATGCTTGCTCATTACTTGTATACCGAATTGAACGCGGCGTGCCGTCACCACCGGCCAACCAATCGTCTAAGCCGTCGACACGTATGGGAAACGAGAAAGGAGAGCATTCTAGCGCTGGACAAGGTACAACAGAACCGCAAATTGACTCGAAATACTTTTCACCAAAGGTTGGCGCCGAGGTTGCTGCCTTGAAAGATAAACTCGACTCCGGTGTTGGGTTAACCCAGCAACCCAGCAGACAGACAATGCGGTTATTGAAGTCATCTCATTCCGATGCATGCCCCGACTCCGCTGAGCGCACATCCGGATCGTTGCTCAGTCAGGTAAGGAGCACTACCTCTGGCTCCGATACCAGCCGTACGGAAACTCCAAATAGTCAATCACTAGTCAAGGGTCCCCCACTGGAGAGAGTGCAATCCATGATGGGGAGTCCCATAGGAGCTACTCAAACGAAAGACCAGGATACGATGTCATTCCTCGCCGGGATGTGCAACTCGGGTCTAAGTACAGATGAGGCATTGGAAGAAGAAGTTTTTCTCAATCCTGACCTTGGCTTGGACTCGAACGGAATTCCGAGCTTCACGTCACCTTCAGCATTCCTTAGCAGCACTTCGCCAAGCTTTGGAGTCTCTAGTGGCCTTACTCAAGGTCGACAGCCCGAGCTAATTGCCCAGCCGAGGCTCCTTGGAGAGAGACCAGGGACTACGGCAGGACTAGATTCTCCACAATCTGGCAAGGGTGGAAACGAGCCCGGAGTTATCATCGATGGGAATGGCTTCGCGCATATTCTAACAGTTGCTGAAGAGGCGCAGCGGAACCTCGATCTGCAACAAGCAGTCATGGCAAAGATGAAAGCTAATGCGACTGATTCTAACTCGAATGCATTGCCCCAGACACCAAAACAAGCCTTGCTGCACAAAAATCCACAATCAGAGCACCAAACAATCCCTTCCAGACACCAAACGTCCTGGTCACATAGGAGCAAAGCAACTACACTGAATTGGAAGCCTCACACAGAAACACCTTCATCCTCCAATAATAAACCCAACCTTTTCCAGAAGATTACCGGCTTTTTCAAAACGCGAAGGGGCCCTGGCCAAGCAAACCATGCTCTGGTGGAGCAGCCCTTTGGCATTACCCACTGATAATGCTTTTATTATCATTGAGCGTCGGGAATCTCCCGATGTATTTTCGTTCTACGCGTCTTCTCACATTAATTGCCATGTATCTGTGAAGCGATCCTACTGGATTTATTAGCGATAGTATTTGTATCCGTGTTTATGTATGGGGACCTTGAAGTTCTGTTCTGATTGCATGTTTTAATAGCGAAGCATGATGCATCTGCTTTAGTGTTGCGTCTTTCTTGTTACCTCCCCTCCCTTCTCTTACCTTTCCTTTCATCAGGTCACACCGGGCCACAGTCCATATGAATGCTTCCTTTCAAGATACCAAGATTGACTGAACTACGTCTTTCCCGAGTTTTCACGATTTTGCCATATCCGGACATACAGGCATATTGACATGTTCATCTGTATCTCTCCTCCCAATCATACAGTCCGAAAGATTTAGTGTGTTCTGAGCATCCCGAAACTAGTCCAGTGATCAAATGCCACAGTGTATTATAGTATGCCTGACGTGGCATAGCCCTCAGTTTCTATTGTCTTTATATGGTCGACAGGTAGAGGGACAAGGTCCAATCAATGTCCCTTACTGCCAGAGTTCCAAATCCTCCGGCTTGCCTTAAAGTGGGGTAATAGAAGCCAACAACATGGAACAGAAGGGGCGTGCCGCATGTCCAGCGTGGCCTTCCAAGAACCCATGCAAGTGAAAGGGCTGTGATCTGCCGACGGCACGTGCAGTGCTGGTCTGCAAGAGCGGGTAAGGCATTTATTCCTCCACTGGCTCAACTTTAGAATAACTCCAGGTTCAGTTGTATATCGTCGGCAAGTGCCGATGGATTCATTACTTTATGCCTGCTACATGCACTGATATTGCGAGCCTTTGGATGGACCTTATCTATATTCACCTCAAACACGCCAAATATATCATAGAGAAATTTGTGTGGGTGGACTCGATTAATTGTCGATGCCATCCTAGTGTTGCTTGGATGCATATGATGTTGCCGAGTCATTGGCGGGGCAAAGGACCAGGTACATCCACTTTTGACAGATTGCAGGGGGGTAGGGCTTGCCTTACGTCGACAAGCAAAGGAAAACCCCTCAACATGCCAATATTTTCGTTGATTGGTCTTATTGTGGTTCCTATCGCCCGTCTTCGCACCCTGCTCCGTATTCTCGCCCAACTGTCACTCGGAAGGAATACCAGAACTTGGCCATCTATCCCATCGCTCTACATTTTGGGCGAATACTATGGTCATTTACGGAGCTACCTGTATCTGCTAAGGTATTGATACATCTCAGATGCCCCAGATGGGCCACTGTAATTCACCTGACGAGATTACCGTCAGGGAAAAGGTATGATTTGTCCATTGGTGGCGCCGCCATGGTAGAGAAAGACAAATAACGTACAGTTCTCACCTCCAGCGCTAGGCATCGACAGAAAACAGGCACTAGGCGATTGACTCGCAGGCCAATTCATTTTCCGAGGGGCATAAATCTGACGTATCGCAAATATCGTCCCTGGTAATCCGGTCACTCATGATCAGGACATGCAGGGAAATAGCTTCCATTATTGCATTCGGAAGACTTTTCTCTTCCATAGCACTGTGTCTTTTGGTACATGCATTCGATTCCGGATGGTGCCATCTGTCTAGGAAGCTTTCAGGCATCTGCGCATACGGTATACATGCTTGACTACCTGTGACGGCAAGGATTATCTCTTGATTTTCATTCAACACAGCCTGCGGCGTCGAAGTCGTCTTTGTTATACGTGGCACCACTGTTGTTGCTATCCAAACTGGTAAAGGGACAGAATGATGGACTGACATAGTGCGTACTTGGTCGATTGTTCAAGCATATAAACCCAGGCATCACCGGCCTTGAGCAACTGATCTACTCAAGCTCAAGTTCAAGCTCACCAAATTAGCTCCCAAACCTCCTCAATCTACCCGAAGGTCTGCTACTGTCCCCGGATACACTCTCATCTCAATTGCTTAATCCGTCTAGCTTACTACCGACTCTTCCATACCAACCCCTTCCAACTCGTCAAAATGCAGCCCAACGCCAACATGATCCACCCCGAAGGCCCAGTGGTCATCTCTATCCCGGACGGTGCCAAAGTCCACATTTCGGGCAAGACAAACGCAGACTTCCGCCAAAGGGTCACCGTCGAGGAGATTGGCAGAGGCAAGTACATCTTCGAAGGCAGTGGCGAAGACAAGGCCATGACCCTCGAGGGGGGAGACGAGTGTGTGGACCTTGAGCCTATCAAAGGCTCTGGATTCCGCACATGGACAATCAACTTCCAAAACTCGAGTTCCGGTGCAGAGTACAGAATGTCGAAGGTGCTGCGTCCGGTTTACAACACCGTTTACGATGCCAACTACAAAGTTCAAAAAATGGAGTGGGAGATTGCAAGCGAAGATAACGTCGATGATGACTACAACGATGCAATCATCCGTTTCAGCGCCGACATCTAAGTGACCTTGATTTGGATTCGGTGAAGCTTGAGGGAAACTGGTTGAGCTTTGGAGTCTTGGACTGGCCTGTATTTAGCATTCGCTCATCCAGATGGCCCTGTCTATGTATGGCTTCCCTGGATGAAAACACTTCAAAGAATAGCGGTTGTGGATATGATGTGACGTCAAATAATACTCAGTTATATATAGTCACTGTCTCTTGCTTCTGATCCATAGAATCCGAATTTGCAGCGTTTTTCTCTCTTTTCGTCCCTATTGGCCTACTCTTTGGCAGTAAACTTCCTTGGTTGAGCACGTAAATATATATACGTACTAGAGGACGCGCACATATTACAGAAGAAGCTGAAGTCAAGTGTACTGATGGATATACATTCACTTTCCTAGACTGGTAGGTAAGTGCTAGTCAGTCTTCTAGTATGAGTGACTGTATTCCAAGTGGACACAACAAGGCTTGGCGGCGATCCACAACAGTTGAGTTCGCAACGTTTTGGCCCGGAAAGGAAATCCGGACTCAGAAATGCAGATCCAACCAATCAATGTCTGTGTCGACAACGGCTCGGAGAGCTTAGCAAATCTTGACTGGTTACAATCTGATTGTTTTGTTGATCGAGCACGAGGGGGTGTAGAGCTTTTCGTTCTGTTTATGTTAACGATCGCTTTCAAGAATTATATAGATGTCAGCTCATGTAAATATCAGCTGTGAACCTTGACAGTGGAGATTAGCGCTTCAGCAGGAATGGGGCTATGCCACCAAAAACAATTCGGGTACACCGGCATCTGGAGCCAAATCTCCGCACGCGCTTTTTTTTACTGGAGTTCCGAGCTTCTCTCACAAAATATGAAGCTTCTCAGCTTCTTCACCCCCAACCCGAGTACCCTATAGTACACAGTGTACATATACAATTCCCTATCTAAGATGATCCGGTAAAATGAGACGCAAATTTCAAAAATCCCTGACCCAACTCACCGTCTTCGGGTGCATCCTATTCCTCATCCTCTACCTGAACCGCGCGCCCTCATCATCGCCCATTAAGAAGAACCCCCAAACATACCCATGGACTAGAGTCACCTACCAAACGAACTCGGAGGTCCTCCCACCGGCCCGCGGCCTCTGCCCGGGACTGAAAGAATCCTCAAAACCGGCCCTCGTCATATCCCGAGTCGAAGCCGACGGCGATCCCTCGTGGCTCGATACGCTCAGCAAGAAGTACCACCTCTGCGTATACACCGTTGACGCACCGGAGGACCCGAAGTCCAAATCCCTGCGAGTCCCGGCCAACCGCGGCCACGAAGCGATGACCTACCTGACCTTCATCATCGACAACTACGACCAGATCCCGACGCGCGGCGCCGTCTTCGCCCACGGCTCGCGCTTCGCCTGGCACAACGACCACCCGGACTACGACAACGCCGACCTCCTCGCCGCGCTCAACATCCCCTCCGCCCTGGAACCCTGGGGCTACCATAACCTCCGCTGCGACTGGAGTCTCAGCACCTGCCCCCCGCACGTGGCGCCACAGGGCGGCTTCGACAACGCCTTCAAAGCCGTCTTCCAGCCGTGGAGCGCGCGCACCATCTCCGACGTCGCGCTCCCCAAAGCCCTCGACGCCCTCTTCGGCACCGGCGCCGGCAGCCAGGCCAAGCTGGGTCGCACGCACACCGTCCGCTCGCAATGCTGCGCGCAATTCGTCGTCGCGCGAGCCAACATCCGTCGCCACGCCAGGGAGGAGTATGTCGCGCTGCGACAGTGGTTGTTGGACGCGGGCACTCGTCGCAACGCGGCGCCCTTGGATGACCGCACCTCCGGCCGTGTCCTGTCCTACATCTGGCACATCTTGTTCATCGAGCAGAATCTTGCGGAGGGGGTTTCGGAGGGGGTTGATCTGGAGGAGTTGAATCACCAGGCTTGTCCCTCTGCGAAGGACTGCTATTGTCGGTTGTATGGGCGCTGTGAGCTGGAGAAGTGCAAGACGCCCGGCTCTTGCTTTGGGCAGTATCGTCTGCCGAAGGATTTGAAGTTGCCTGATGATTGGGCTGCTACGCATTGAGGATTGGGTCCGGAATATGCTGGGAAGGACTAGGTCAATCTTTGTGGGAGTCTGGAAACGGGTTATACACCATGAATTGTCTCATTAGAAGCCATGGTCATGGCATGATAGGGTTCTATGTACGAGTAGATGAATATAATGTTTCATGAATCTTGAATGTGGGTTGTCTGTCTTATCGAATGTTCACAGCACTTTGTTATACCCCAGAGTCGATACCCAGTTCAGTCCAACTAGAGAGGTTTACTTGATGTTATTTACAAATAGAACCAAAGTCCCACGGCAGATCATTTACAGATCACTCTTTAACACGTCAGATTATGCCCTAGCTCCATAATCATAGTACGAAACACAAAAGCACCTGTATCAATATCACCTCCCCCCAGACCACATCTATCAATAGTAAACGTAACCCCCTGCACCGTCTCCCTACCAGCGAGCAAACGATCAGTCAATTCCGCATGAACATGTTACTGTCCACATCTGCGCTTAAAAAATATACGAGGGCTCAAAACCCAGACGCAGTTTACTCGAGAGTTTGCTGCTTCTACTGTTAATATGGAGAGTTCCCCAAACGGCCAGTTAGGGCTTCGAACGGTTGCTCCAACTCCGGTGTCTTGGCTCCCAGATCGGCTGCCTCGAGTCTGTGTAAGGTCATCTCAAGATGTCCATTTGACGGTTCATTGCCCTTCTTGGATGGGGAACCGTCTTCATCTCTTGTTTCGGGGTTTACTTGTCCTTGGAAGCTTTACATGGACAGGCAGGTACTTCTGGACTAGCCCTCGATGGTCTCGCGGCTGGTACAAAGTGAACTCATCCTTTGAAAAAAAAAAAAAAAAAAAAAAAAAGCCCTTGCCGGCGTGAATACAAGGGGAAGATATCTCAACTGTGTCCAGGTACTAAGTATTGAAGCTAGATGGGTAAGGGTCGTCGTAGGTAAGCTACGAAAAGCACAGAAAGTCCAGTACGTATGGATACATCATACATATAGGTATCATAAAGCATGCAATTCCAATCTCCGCGTCTACTCATAGCTATAAAGCGTCTCTAACAAAGAAGAGTCGTCCAGCGACTTCATCCACAATGCAGACTCTAATCATAACTCACAGACCCAGCCAGTAGCGAGTCTTCTCGACCTGGAAGGATGACTTGAGAACACCCTCGCCAGTACCAGTCACAAGAACCTCATACTCGCCCTTCTCGGACGCCCATTTGTTGCGCATCTCGTCAAACCAGCTGGTCGCCAGCTTCTTCTCCACGACGATCTCGACCTTCTTCTGCTCACCGGGCTGCAGGAAGACCTTAGTGAAGCCCTTGAGCTCGCGAACGGGGCGATTCACTTCGGTTGCCGGAGGCGCCACCCAGAGCTGGACGATCTCGGCACCGGCGACCTTGCCGGTGTTGGTCACCGTGACGGTTGCGGTGATGGGCTCGCCGCTTTCTTCGTACTGGGCTTTCTCGGGGGTGGTGGTGAGGGTCAGGTCGGAGCGGGTGAACGTCGTGTAGGAGAGACCGTGGCCGAAGGGGAAGAGAGGGGCCAGGTCGGTCTTCTCGTAGTAGCGGTATCCGACGTAGACATCCTCGCCGTACAGGACACGGCCGCGCTCGGAGCGGAAGTTGACATAGCTGGGGTTGTCCTGCAGGCGCATGGGGAAAGTGAGCGGCAGCTTGCCGGAGGGGTTGACGTCGCCGTAGAGCACGTCCGCGATGCCGTTGCCACACTCGTTCCCGCCGAACCAGGCGTGCAAGAGCGCCTTGGTCTTGTTGGCCCATGGCATGGTCACCGGGGTGCCGCTCTGGATCACCACGACCGCGTTCGGGTTGACCTCCAGCACGCGCGAGATCATCTCGTCGCTGCCGGGGGGCAGGTCCATGTGGTCGCGGTCGTAGCCCTCGGTTTCCCACTCGCTGGTCAGACCGGCGAAGATGACCACCTGTTCGGCCTCGGAGGCGAGCTTGACGGCGTTGGAGATGAGCTCTTCCTGGCCGACGCGACGGCTGGCCCCAAAGCGGAAGCCACCAGGTCCGAAGATTACCACCCCGCGAGTGTCGAGGTCGGAGGTAGGTGCTGTGCCGAACTGGAAGAGGACCTTGTATGTTTGGCCTGCCTTGAGTTCCTTCGAGCCCTTCTCTTCGACGGTAGCAGAGCCGAAGAAAGCAGAGCCCTGGCGTTGGTTCTTGGTGTTGTCCACGACGAGCTCGCCGTCGATGAACAGTTGACCGGTACCAACGACAGTGACGCCGAAATCGTAGACGCCGTCTTCCTCGGGGGTGAAGAGACCCTCCATGTCGACGTAGTAAGTGAAAGACTTGATCTTGGGGTTGACGTAGTCCATGAGGAAACCGCTCGACGAGACGAGGTGCAGCTCTTCGATAAGTTCGCGGTTAGATTCGGAAGGGTGTTCGTTGTACACCTTGAATGTGAAGCCAGTCTTGCCGTCGGCCGTCTTCAGCAAGGGTCCAAGGAGAGGAAGGTCCTTGTGCGAGTAGGCGCCTTGAGCGTACTTGACCTCACCCTTGCTCTGAGCCGAGACACCCTCGAACGGGGTGACAGTGTAATACGCATCCAAAGACGCGGAGCCACCGCCGCAGTACGCCGCAACCTTGGAGTTAGGACCAATAACCAGAATAGACTTGTCCTTTTTCAGAGGCAAAATGTTCTCCTCGTTCTTCATGAGAACGACGGACTCCGCCGCAGCACGGCGGAGGAGAACCTGGTCCTGTGGTCGGTTGAGAGCCTTCTCCGGGGCATTCTCCGGAATGTTCAAGCCATCCACATAGTTAACCAGATTCAACACATTGCGGACACGCTCATCCATGACAAACTCAGGGACCTTGTTGGAGGAAACAGCATGCGCTAGGGCAGTTCCACGCCAGCGTGTCTTGCCCGGCATCTCTAGGTCCAAACCAGCGTTGATTGCGTCACTGGTAGTGTACGTTCCGAACCAATCACTCATAACCAATCCATCCCATTCCCACTCCTTCCGCAAGATATCCGTGATGATGTCCTTATTCTCACTAACATGAGTCCCGTTCACCTTGTTATAAGCCGTCATGACACAGGCCGTTCTGCAAATCCTCATAGCCAATTGGAACGGCAACAGATAAATCTCGCGCAGAGCCCGCTGCGTGACAATGCTATCAACAGCCATACGCTGATGTTCCTGATCGTTACACACAAAATGCTTCAGGGTCGCCGCAACACCCTTCTCCTGAATACCCCTGGAGAAGTGACCGGCCAGGTGTCCCGAGAGCACACCGTCCTCGGCAAAGGACTCGAATCCACGGCCCCCGAGCGGAGACCGTTGGGTGTTGATCGTGGGACCCAAAATGATATGCGAGCCCTTGGCGATGGACTCCTCGCCCATCAATTTACCAACTTCATGGAGCAGCTCAGTGTCCCATGTTGCGCCCAGTGCCGTAGCACAAGGGAAACATGCGGCTGGGACGCCATTGAAGAAGCGAGTTCCGCGCACGCCGTTGGGGCCATCGGACATGCGGAGAGTTGGGATGTTGAGGCGAGGCACGGAGGCTGTGTGCCAGAAGTCGATTCCTGGGCGTTGTTAGTATATACTTGTCTTGCGATCGTGGGGTTTTGACTTACCGGCCGTTAAGGCGACTTTCTCCCCTAGGGTGAGTTCTTCGATGGTTTTTTCCACATCTAGACGAGGCATTTTGAATGTACAGTGTGGGTATACCTATGTTTCTTTTGATCAAGTGAAGATAAAGAAGAAGCAAAAACGACAGGAGGAAATGGTAGGATTAAAATGATAACTATTCCGACAGAACTATGCGTGGAATAGTTATAAAATCGATATGGAGAGGTAGGAAGTATAGAGGATAGAGAAATAAGAGAAACAGATCACGAAAAACTATGAGGCAGGCGAATATATATCCCAAGTACCTGCTCCACCATGGACCACTGGCAAGGCTGATTGACACTGTTAGTAACAATCGAGAGTCTGGAGAGTTCGTCCCGAACTCCCCGCTTGATGTCGCAAGCACGGATCATCTATCCATTGGTGGATCTCGGTTAGAGGTCTTTCCTCCCTGGTTGGGATGAGATTCTGCGGTGACACGCAGAGGCTCTCATCGCAACCTTCTGACCGTGGACCCGAAACACGTAGCGATAAGGGTCGATTGCGAAGTGTTGCCCATCACGGCGCGATGAAAAGGGAACGGGGAGACACCCGAAGTTTAGCCGGCGCGGAGTATCGGTCCGTCGTGCCTACACTGTCCTTTTCCTACCCTAAATACTCCACATAACTCAACTGGTTTCTCCGTTTATGCTGGCGATTAGTCACTAGACTGCTGGTTAATTTTCCCTTTCCGGAGAAATTGGCCCGCAAGCGATAGTGTATCATCATCCTCTATCCTAGTACTTTTCAATGCAAAACGCTGATTGAGTATTCACCTGAATGTACATTAAAGGGGCGCTATAAGCCGGCAGTTCTTATACATGAAACATGTCAACGTATTAAATGCAAGGATAAACGTTTCGAGCACTTCTTTAGATACATATTTGCGAATGCATCGCCGGAGGAAGAACGCAGAACTGGTTCAGACGTCGCCCAATCTTTTGCTTACTTTTCCGCTTTCTCGTCATGGAGCTCGAAGGAAAAGGATACGGCCATGGTTGCTATCGACAGCTTTGCGGAATATATGATTGATAATTTTTTCATGCAATGTAAGTTGCTTGCTCTGTACGGAGTAGCAAGGTAGAACCTGGAAGTATTCTGGCATAAGCTGACCGCTAGTACTACAGTAAGAGCATCATTGTCTTCAAATCAGAATGCACCTACTGACACAAAAAGTCGTATTTCTAGCTTACGGAAAAACTGCCTGAAACGTGATCAGTCAGGCCGCTCACGGAAGATCAGCATTGATACTGTAAAGGAAACTTCTAGGCTATCTCCTACATCCTATACCCCGTACTATTTCTGAGAATGTTTTCCAAGTCATGAGCTACCGGTTGTTTTTGGTGATAAGGACCAATGTGGTATGTATGTCTTTGCATCTACTGTCAGGATTATTTCGCGCGGTCTTCCCTTGATATACATTCATCAAGGTATCAAGTAGCATCAGATACCTTTCTGGAGTCATGTCCTGCTTCATGACCATCGAATCAAGTTATGCGTGTATTTCTGTCCCTACCTCACCGGTTTCATTCGCTTCTGTGCAACTAAACCGACATGATGCCCATATTAGTCTCAACAGCTTTTATTTTCAATGGCTCAACCTTCATTTCTCTTTTAATATATATAGTCACAGCTTCCTCGACATGTCTCAAACACTATCAGTGCGTGCCCCGTGACATAGATCTCACAAAAATGCAGAATCTATTTACAAGTATAACGCCATTCCTCCGCAAATATCAACAGTCTCGTAATTAGTTCCGAACCCCTTGATCTCCGGAATGATCCGGTAGTAAAAGTTGGCCGCATGTTCAGTCTCAGCAAAACCGATGAAGTCATCCATCTTGTGGTTGGCGTTGTCCGCATAGACAGCCCATGTAGCAGCCCCCGCCAGTGCCATAGACTTTTGATGGGCTTGGGTGAGCTTCGATCTTTCCCTGGTAGTGAACGCGATCTTGAACCCAGGGTTGTCGAATCGCTTTTGTAAATTGGATCCTTCAGTGTTATTCGTACCAGAGTCCCCTTGTAGAAGTGGCAGGTGAAGAACGGTTTCACCGTTTTCATAGTGGTTGGTGATGATATCGTGCTTCGGAGAGTCGTCAACGGCGAAACCAGTAATCTGGAATCTGTGGGTTAGTAAAGGCTTGTCCTGACGTCTAGCTAAGGCAATAGTATGTCGGTGTTCAGCGTTGGACGTTACTCCGTGGAGCGTACCCGATTTTTGGTTACTATACAATTTGCACATGAGACATAATATAATGGCTATCAACAAAAGGATGGACTATTGAACTACTGGTGCTTCTAGTATATAAAATCCCTGTCTCTATGTGGAGTCTAGAATCAGAATAATCAAAAAACAGGAACAGTTGATAGTGGATAGCCGGCCTACGAACCCTTGCAACGCTGGCGAAGGGAGCGTTAGTCTTATTACATAAATACCTCGCATAGCCGATAGTCTTCTATTTTATTTATCTACCATTGTTTCCGGGGCACAACAGTTCCACACAGCTTACTCTTCCTTTCTTCGAGTGATGCTAACATATTCTACTGTTGGATAGAACGCAATGGGTACCAATGAAAAAGCTACTCCGCCGATTTCTCAACCATCCTCTCCGCCAACACCTTCGCGAACTGTTACTATCCTTCGGAGTATCGTACGAAGTCCGCGGGCGTAAGTGCGGTCCTATATATCAATGATATAAAATATCTGAAGCTAACTATTTAGCTTACCTTTTATCGCACTGATCACTCCGCCTGTGCGATGGTTTTGGAATTACATGGGATGGCGTAACGGAGGAGACGTGGCCCATTCGCTAATCCTCGGACTATTAATACTGTATTTTATCATATCGCAATATGTTCGCAGGTACGATTGATGGACTGGAAGACAATAATTTATTATACTGAATAACAAATCTTCATCTGCCCACCCTAACTATCTGTGCCGGAATGAAACTTCAACACATGCAGTCCGTTAATGTTCTACACTTAAGACCTGCTATCTGCATCCTGTGTTTGAGGTCCTTGCCTGACCGAGTCCTCTAGGAGTCGGCGATGTGGGGTTCGGTGAGATACTTGTCCCATAGTCCATGTCACTTGTCATCGCTACCTACCCAAGGCAACAGAAAAGGCCTAAATCCATGCATCCATGATCCTCTACCCAAATGATAATGCCTTCGCGCTTTCTAGGGGGTTGGGAGGGTGTGGAGTGTTGTTCCCAACAAGACACCTTACGGAGAACTCTGGAATTGCGATGTTAGGTATCCACTTTGCCCTACAGGTGTAGGGCTGGTCTATGTACGGCGGAGTAGTACCATAGTCGACAGCCCACACCACAGTCATACACAAATTAACATGTACCGTTAGTTGCAAGCGCCATGGCGGCCATATTGATTTTCTCATACAAATCTGCAGGAATCCTGATAACCTAGAATTCGCAAATACATTTTCAGCTATCTATATAAATTTTCAAGTAAAGGAGCATTGAAAGTTTATTTTAATACTAGTATTGGTTCTGTATATTTAGACTAAAATATTTTACTGCAAGAAATTGATCTTCTCTAAAACACGCCTCACTGCTTGAGCCTTGAGTAGCCATCCCTTCAGCGGTAAAGCAATAACTTCATACTCCAATTCTCCAACACTTGTGCCCCGTGGTGGCCCTCTCTGAGACTCTAGCGCAGTCTTTATCTTCTTCAGTACCTCCTCCAACTTCTTGAGCGGGTTCCTAGATGGCATGCTGGCTGTATTTGAGGCAGTGAATTTAATTTTAAGGTGAACTTAGTACTAAACCATAAATTTATCTCCGGGACAGAATGTCTAATTTTCGTTCTTAGAAAGTTGATGTCCCATTCCAGATTGGAATGATTTATTACCTGTCATGGATTTTGCGTCGTCTATATGGCTTAGTCTTCATGGTGAACTCATCTTTTCCCTGATCATTTGATACTGTGTGTCTTAACTTTCGCTTGGCTTCTTCTGCATGTATAGCAATTTGGAGTGAAAAGGAATATAGGCTGAGGTAATGTGGCCAACAAGTCAAATTCAGAATATCACCTGGGGTTCTCCGCAGACTCTCATTGTGCAGTAAGATGATATTGTCGAGATCATGGTGCCTAAACCATGGGCAGATAGCAAGGATATTATGCACCATGCATCAGACAACTTTGTGGGTGCAAGGCATTGGTTTCTTCCACTATTCACAAGACTCTCCAAGACATAGATGCCCGGCCCAAACTCATTGTCAGCGTTGGTTGAGCTTATAACAGGGAGGAAGCTGTAATAGCACAACATTGACGGGATTGTCTGTATATGAGACAATCTCATCACCAGTTTTCAAGATTTGTAGCTGGTCGCAGAAATAGGCACCGGCATAGTAAAGGTTTCTTAGTACTGGGATTGCTCTTGGCATCTGTCAAGTCCTCGTGAGTTGCAGGATGGTTTCACTGGCAGGAACAACGGCATCTAATGCTTTGCCTGGGATATATTGCCCGGATATGTACATGCTCATTCGCCCTGCAGGTCTCTGACGGTACGTGGTCAAACTCGAAGATTCTGCAAGACATAGCTCGCGTTTGACCGGGATTTTTAAACAGGAGTTGCTCCACTCGGCTAAGTCATTGCTTGGATGAGATTATATGGACATGCTGCTCAAGATACGAGTTCTCGCCAATGCTCTGTGGATCTGTCTTCTTGTCCCAGGGCGTGATATTACTCACGAAGTGTGTGCTATGCAAAGTACAAGATATGAGGGTATGGGGCCTACTGTCAGGTCTGACAGTGCCTCCTTGATTAATTTCTTCGCCTTTTTTACCGACACCGGCTGGTACGTTGAGGATGAGAAAGAGGGGGTCAGTCTCTTTGGATAGAGAATTTATATTGAGATGTATACAGAGTATAATAGTGAATGAGGAACATAATGAATGTCTAAATCTCAAATTGCATTGAAAATAGTGAACATACAGTATAAATTCACAGCTAGTTCATATGTCATTATATTCCCACCAAGCACAGAGTAGTACACAAGTGGACAACCAAGGTCAAACACTACTTAGCAACTGCCATGCTCACGAGCAACGATGCGCTCACTGGATGGCAATATCGGCACAAGAGAGGTAAATCTGGCCGGTCTGGAACGAGTTCCACTTGAATGAAATCAAGGTGTGGTTGGAAGTGTACTCTGGAAGCTTGACCTTCTTGGTCACCGTGTAGCCACCGGCAATACTGGTGTAGCACGAGTTCAGCTCGGCATTGTCAACTCCCTGGCACTTAGGCCGGTCAGAAGCCTCGAAGCCATTGCACGTAAACCAATCATTACGCCAGCAGGCCTCGCCCTCGGAGCAGTCCGCACTGTATCCACACTCCTGGCCATTGACATCCGTGCAGGGCAGCAGACCTGCGTCAAAGCAATCCTCAGCAGCCTGCTTCTCCTCCTCAGTGGGGAGGTAATCCGGGTCGAGGAACTTGTCGACAATAGTCTGGTCTTGACAGATCCGGTAGGTGAACATGCCGCCATGGTCGCCGTTGTGGTCGACACACCATTGCACTTCAATCTCTTCGCCGGCACTGTAGGTTTGCACAGCATCGGAGCCCCAGTTAGTGGTTGGCTGGTTGTAGTCGATACTATCACGGGCGTTGTAACCACAGGGTCCGCTGCGGCCGACTGGTGCGGCGTCGAGGTCGGGCCAGGAGGAGACGGGTTCGAGGATCGCACATTCAGGGCACGAGTCGACACCGGCCTGGAGTCGTTAGTCAGGTTTGAGCTAGGTGGGAGTAGGAAGAGGGAGCAAATACCTCGTTGCCGAGACGGGTTCGGCTAGAAGGGATGTACATGTAGCCATGACCTGCCACGGAGGTAGCTAAGCCGAGGGAGAGTAATGGGGCGAAGGCCTTCATTTTTGATAAATTGTTCAATGCGAAGAAAGCTAGAGAGGTAGTATCCTGTCCTTTCGCGATTCTCATGCGCTTAATGTATTCAACAAACCTCCTCCATCCCGGTCCAATTGTCCAATATATATACATGACTCAAAATGCGATCGACGTCATTTTGGGCACTACCCACCTGACTCGAAACATTCCTAAACAGGGGACGGACATTTAATCCCAGTCCGATCTGCCTTAGTGGAAACAAGCTGCCCCGGAAGTTGCGGAGGCGGGACTCTATCGGAATGGCGCGCATACCAGATTAACACTCTTCAGGGCTGGCGATATTGAAGATCATAGCTCAATGGAGTTTAGTCCATGCCAAGAGTCATATTTCCTCCGTGATCGATAGAGTAGACTCTCGGGCGCTTGACATCTAAGCGACCTTGGCATGAAGACGGAGTGGACGAGAAGTTCCGGTAAATTTCCGATGGGCATGGACTGATGCAGTAAATGCCAATTACTCTCGGGCCGGTGACTTGCATCTTGTTGATCGTGTATTGGGCTGAGACATGAAGGCAATGTGCTAGGTATGTTCTCTGTGGTTGGTTGGTTGGAGGAAGCTCAGAGGGTATTCATTTCTCTGTCGACTTACCTTAGAGCTGATTGACTTACAGTTGTTTTGATTTACTGTCTACAGCTGGTTAGAAAATAACGCAAATATTCATATTCTGAAATTTCGCTCTGAAGTCCTAGGTCTGGGCCGTAACCGAAAAAGACGCATGATAAGATACATAATCCGTGTATTCCATATGTACGTCTGAATGATGCAGTACTGTAAGTAGACAGCAGGCTATGCGTACGTATATCCAAGAAATTGCAGGGCAGCCTTCGGTATCCACTTGTGTGCCCATAGCTCAGTAGTGTATTGGATGTCCGAAAGTGAAGGCTGGGCAATAAATCCCATATTCCCTTCTACTGAGCGTTATTATTATCGTCTCAGAAGCCGAGGCAGTACTGACACTACCAACGCTACAAACACTGCATGTACACCCAGTCAAGAACAGCAGGTGCACTGGGGTGTACTTGCCCTGGAAAGTAGTATCGTGGGACTGGACATGCTGCCTATAGAGGAACGATGCTTGTACTGTGGTATAGTAATTATACATCAGGTATACAATTAGTTGCTGGCTCTGCTTGCACGGACAACTGTGATGGAGCATCAAACGGTAAGGGCAGATGCCTAATATAGATGTTGTACTCCATCGCCTTCATTGCCAATGTGCACGTGTTAAGCCCAAGGCAGATCGTGCCGGTCAAAAAAAAAATCAGATATACTACCAATTTCAAGCCAATATACAATCGCATTGTCGCAAGGTAGACACAGTAGCTGCCCATAGATGTATGCCACCAAGTTATCAACATATCAGGCCCTAGCCCTCACTACCCACGCTGCCACGCACGGCGTCATATCCCAGCGGGAATCTAGTCTTCTCGAATATGCCTTTAATTTGTCTTTGTCCTACCAAATATCCCCTGCGGTCAGGTTAAGAAGACGGGTGTGTCTTTATCACGGCTATTGAGAGAACCTCATGCTTCCAGGAATATCAACATGGACTAGACGGAAATGCTTTTTGTGCTTTCATGAACGACACCAGGAAGCCGTTAGAGAGGGCTCTGGCATTCCTGGAACAGAATACTTCATTCAGAGATATAGTTTAGAGGTTCGTGCGTGCATGGCCAACTTTTGCGATTGATGGATCATGCATATCAAGGGAGTACGCGATGATCCGATGATGATTACTCAGAGTCTTTGAGAGCTGCCACCGAAGGTAAGTCTTTTTGAGAGATTGCATAGCGTTCGGAAGTGTATGGTCTTGAATTAATGGTCATCATCTTCAAGAGAGCTGGCTTTATACCTGCACAGCTTTAAGCTTGCCCCTGGTGACAAGCGTGATAACTATGCGGGCTTGATGTCACTTTTGTTATGAAGAGTGGTCCAGGATGTGATGGAAAACATGTGTAACGGCGGAAGGGCTAGACCTGAGCAAGGAGTCTAGGTCAGGTTTTGCCAACAGCTACTATCCTAGAACATTCGTCCAAAGACAGTTGGCTTTTCTTTGTATTGACCGCCGGTTGATGTATTAAAAAAGATCGCCTCTTCTAACCGCGCATTTGGATATACATTAGGGCTAGCGGCAACTCTATCACCAATTGCGCCATGGCGGAGCAACGCGCTTATCCAGGAGTTATGATTGGGGATCCATGAAATGCAGTCTTTGCCAATGAAATGTGCTTCTCAGGTAATATGGCGGGTATAAATAGAGTCTGTCCCCCGGTTCAGATATCATAGAAAAGTGCGTTAACCACATTATTAAAGCTACACTGGCTGTGAGTTTACCCGGTCTAGATAAGCAACCCCTTCTATTATGCCTATGATCGTTGCGGCTAGTTTGAATAAAGAACTCCACTGATTTAACATGTCCTAATCCCTATAATCTATAAACCAACATGGCCTACCTACTCTCTGTGGGGATTTTTGGCCCGGGTACGGACGAGCCTGCCCACTGGGGATTCGTCATCCACCAAACCACTCAACGGACTGGTGAGCTTCTGCATACTAGGATGATCGACGAAAACCTCAACATGTTTCAATTCGAGCATCGGGCTCCACATAGGCTGATATCCCAAAGTGCGTGGGGTCTATGCAAAATAAGAGTCCTCGACAATACAGAGCGCTTAACAGTGATGTCCGTACTCAAGAAGGTGCCGGCACCGAAAGGTGGGAATGAAAACTGCCAGAATTGGGTGATACATGGGTTCATCGACCTCGAGGTGGATGGACTTGTCCCGGAAGGAACGGCTGAAGCTTGGGGAAAGCGAATTGGCCTGGCGTCATCGAAGGTCAAGAACGACATTGGCAATGCATGGATATCGTTGAACGGGAGATAAACACTATACAGGGGAATACCGCATCATTGACAGGTCGACTTCATTCAAAATCTCATATTCTTTCTGTAAGCAAGGGATAGCAGAGTCGATCATTTCAACCCAGGGCGAATCCAAAGCAATACGCTTAGCGGCAAAAAACTCCCTCTCCGGAAGGCTGTACCCAGCTTCACCCCAGTCAACTATTCCTTGAATTAGCCCGTCCTTAATAATGATATTGCCTGGATGTAAGTCTCCATGGGTCATAAGTCCCAGACTACTAGAATACCCTTTCCTAAAGGATAGGATTTTGTCTTTGAGCGCTTCGTCTTGTTCATACCAGACTCCGGGAGGCCTTGATAAACGGAGTGCCTCCACAACAGCATGCTGGTATTGCTCAAAGGAATAGAAAGGTCCATACTGTTTGGTAGATGTATAATCCCAGGGGTGTCTGAAGATGATGTCGTGGCATGGCCCGCCATTTACAGAGCCCAAGAACGAACTGGACAACTCACGCCATTCAGAAACATAGGATTTGAGTTGGTACGTAATTCTCTGGAGCTCTTCGCGGGGCATATCCTCCAAGCAAGATGCAAGGGTACTTCCCTCGATTTTGCTCATAAGGATGAATCCTATCTCGCCTATCGTGTAGGCAGTGTGAACCTTCGGCACCGGCACCTTTGTTTTTGTGGCGATTAAGAGTAATGCTTCTGCTTCATCCATACTGACTTCTTCGCCAACCTTCAGAACTCTGGATTCTGATATTTGTAACATCCAGTTGCCGCCTATGCGGTCGGGGGTAAGATCTATCGCAGATCTGAGTTGCTCTATCGGGACGATGGTTCTGTTTTGTTCGCCAAGAGAGCCCGTGAACACAACATCCGATCCATTGGTCATGATCTTGATCAAATCTTGGACAAATGATTCCTGTGATTCATGTTAGACCAAGAACTTTCTATAGGCAACACTCATGAGCAACTTTGTTACTATAGGTGCATACCATGGTCGCAGATTTCTATAGAGGGACATGCGTTTATAAAACTACATATCCAAGAGGAAAAAGGGAAAATCCAAAGGTAGGAAGGGAAGGCAATATGTAATCCTCCGTGGAGTTGTCGCATACTAGCGCAAGGAACACGGTTGAAGTATTTATCCGCCACAGTCCAACATGATGAGTACCACGTGCGAGAAATCAACAAGCTTGTGCAATATCTAGTACTATACCACTCAGCTTCTAATCCTTTGTTCACTTACTTCTATTTTGATTATTCAACTAACACAAGTAGTAACTACACAGAGTGAGAAGTCAGTATTTATATTGATTTGATGTAATCGACCGCTGGGCTGCAGATTCAGCATACTCCACAGATTGCAACTCTACAACTATGTCATAACTACTGATCAGTCTGTTACATGCCTGCTTACACAGTATAGTCTGTTGGTATCCTTAACAGACTCTCGGATGCCATAATGTCTCCCATGAAACCCTTCCAGGCATAGAAATGCGCGTAAAAGTCCTACTCTAGCGGAGCTTTCATGCCATCGTCTTCTCTGTTCGGGAACATCACGAGCGTCTTTTCCAGCGCCTGCAGTCCTTGCAAGCAGTGGTTCAGACCGTTTGTCAACGTGTACACACTGTTTGTCTCCATCTTAGCCATCAATCGCTGGATTTCGTCCGCAAGTATTTTGGCAGCCAGTGTATAGGCCTTAACAACAAGGGCCGGTTGCTGTGCAGCCAGGTCAGCTTCAGGGGTACTATAGTTGCAGAAAGGTCACCCTCACCGGATGCGCAGCTATATCCTGCACATTCACCTTCAGACTATGGCCCCCTTGGAGTCCGGGACCCGGCACTCTAATACTCAATGATGCTAGGTAGGATATATTCATGGCACTTGCAAGCCTCACCTCTTGGCGATACGCACTCGTCGATCGGAGAACCGTGTGAAGGTTATCTTCAGCTGGCAACGATTCCATGAGGTGTATCTCCAGGTCGCGGATAAGCTCATCGAACAGGAGAATCGCCAGGTCGCCATCGGTGGCACAGAATAGAACCCTGCGTCGGACATCCGCTTGGGACGCTTGTAAGCTCATAATGGTTGTAGAGGTAATGGGGCCAAAGGCTTCTCTCCATGAGTCGATGAGCACAGTTGTCGCGGTGTAGTGGCGCTGAAAGCTTTCCCCATCTCCCACGCTCGTCAGCAGATCTTGCGATGCGACTGTCAGCAGCGCTAGTGATCGCCACAGCAGCACAGCAAGCGATCCTGCATTAGTGACAGCGCGATCCACAACATCGCATGATGCGTTCTTGGACCACAAAGTAGTCACATTGTGCTTTTTAGGTCGAGCACGCGCAAGAATAGAATCCTTAATTTCTTGCTCATGCCTTCTCGTCTTCAGTTCGTCCGAATTGTCAGGCTGTACTGGGCCCCGCAAAGGTAATTTGTTAATACTAGTGTCTTGGAGCTCGAGACTCGTTGGGTCCATTCGCTCACGAGACATGGCGACGGTGACAGAGTGAGACATCCAGAAGAACCACTCAATGGCACCAACCACCTCTAGGATGTATTGTCGAACTTCAAACGAGAATGCTTGGACTATGTGTGGCTTTCTCCTCCCAGTGCCGGCGCCTACCGGATTTGCAGAGGAGAGGGGAGGACTTCCTTGCTTGTGATTTTCCTGGAGATACACCCGTGCATTAGAACAGAGTGCCCGAAGACGCCGAGCCCCTTCGCGGTGCGCGAAAGTGATATCCTCCGCACACATGTCGCTCTGCTCCAGCCCTGTTGGTGGCAAAACTCCGCCAAAGAGAACGAGGGAGAGTGCCAGGCGAAAGGACCTAGTTGCTCCAATGTTCTTGAAGAGCATCTCTCTGGCCTTTTGCCATGTTGCATAAGCAATGTCTCTGGCCCACGAATGTGACTTGGCCGTTCTTGTCTGATTGTTTTCGTGCACTTTGAATTGGGTGGCTATTGCAATAGCAACCCATTTGTATGTTTCATCAATAGCGTCATCTCGCATATTGCGAGATTTAGGGCTTTGTGAGAGTCCCGGGCGCTGAAAGAGTGCGTCCAGTAGTGATACAGCGAGGTAAAGATTGGGTGTCGCAGATTTTAAGTTCCAAGATGTCAGATTCATGTCCCAGCAGTTGTTGATGCTCGATCGGGCGCTCTCTAGATACGGAGATATATCGGCGCTGTTGCTCAACGGCACTAGGGCGTCTATCCCTAGAGAATAGCAAGGAGGCATGCATCTCTCCGAAAGGCAGGTTGCAATCTGTATATCAACGACATCGATATATAAATACAAGTGCTGCACGCATTGCTCTCGTGCCTCCAGCTGCTTCGCTTGGTCCCATTCAGGCCGGGGTATCAACGTCAAACCTTGCACATTGGACACATCCTCAGTTGGTCTCAATTGGGAATTAGGAGCTCTGTTGCCCGCTGGAGATCTAGGGGGACTTTCTTCTCGCCTCTGGATGTGGCGGGGGGGTTTCCGGCTAGCTAACCAGGCTACCGTACATTCCATATTCCGGAGGGAGCACATGGTACAAGCAACTGTGGGTTTGTTGCCAGAGATTGCCACCCCCCTTGGAAGGTCGCATCCCCGTTTTGCCAGACGACATGGATCACACGAGTGGTTCTGTCGACGTATCCGCCGCCCTGTGCTCTGTTTTTGTGTAGTGGCGGAGACTGGGTACGGCTCCTGATGGTTATGAACGGCAGGTGCCGTAGAGGTTCGATCATCGGTTTGAAAATGTGAGTATGGATGGGTGGTACTGTCAGTACATGTCTTTTGGTTTTGGTAGGAAGCCTCCAGACTGTCTAACCAACCTGGCTCTGTCTCTGTCCATCGTGGTAGCTGCTCCTTTTCACCTACATGGACGACGGAGCTCACAGACTGGCCCAGGTCTGAATCAGGGGGAGTCAGGCAAAACGGCAGTGAAAACTGGAGCTCATTGATCGGAATCCAATTGCAGTCATTGTTTTGGTCATGCGATATTTGTGGGAATTGCAGGTAATTGTCTTGTGGAGAGAATGTCATCTTCTTGCTGTTGCGATTCCGAGGGAGCCGAGCTACATAATGGAACTATTGGTAGTGAGAAATCCTGGGAACCGTTCATTCTCTTCGAATGTATGAGTGGAGGAGAATGCGGAGGCTCATTAATATGCGACAAGAGAATCCGGGGAATGGAGATCATCCGTGGGGGGTCCGCGGGTCCCGGCCAACTCCACCATACATTGAGTTTGGGATATGATATAGTTTGTGGATATTCCCTACGAACTGATGATATGGAATAGGACGAAAGTAAGACTTTCATGTTCCAACAACAATATCCTGGCGTATCTGCAAATGACGCTGGCAAACGCAGACCCCTTGGGAGCGTGGTGTTTTTGATATTTCCTGGAACATGAGGCGAGATAATGTGAGAAAGAGACGCTTTCTGCACCGTTGATCATTGGTTATACTATCTTGCCAAAGGCTAGATATAATCGATATATCCAGTTGGGGGGCGATGTAGGTCTTCTATAACCTCTGCGCCTCCGACGTACGTACGAATTTCACACGCATCGTTGAACAGTCTAAGGCGGTCCTGAGGCACCGAAATCCGCAGACTCGATGATCTTTAGGTTTTCTATGCCCCCCACCCAATGAGAACCAAGGTTAAGTCTATGATGTTGATGTCGATCAATCGAGGAACCGCGGGTCCGCTTCCATCCCGCATTGACCCATACTCCACCGACATGTGCATAGCGAATAGCACTGCAACGCGAACTACAGGTCTGGCTCGGTTTCGGTAACCGCGGGCACCGAGGTTAAACCGAGACTCCTCACGATCTGAGCAGTTGAGCACTCGCCCTGAGGCTCATTATTTGAGACCGATCGTTGACACTGTGTGGTACCCAGAGCTGCCACCAACGGTTATCCAAATTTGGTATCTCACATTACCTTTTGGAGGCATCAACACATCCCAAAAATCACACAAAAATGACAGACCGTCCATCTTCAAAGCGACATGCATTCTTCGAACCGAACTTGGAGATTTCCCCACAGGATGTCGAATATTTTGCCTCCCTCCCATTTGCTGCACCCTATCTGAGCAGCCCATTGTACGAGCCGGTTCCATTCGTCACCCGATATGATGCAAAGGGCACCTCCAACAAGTTCTTCAGTAAGGTGATAAATACCGCTGATACAATCCCACATTTGTTGTCCCTGGCTCGAATGCCAGGCTCAAAGCCAAACCAGATTCCAGATCAACGTGACGATGGAGCTCCAGATTTCGTGGTTTTCGTTTCTCTAGGCCCGGATCTGTGCGGATTCCAGGATACAGTCCACGGGGGAGTCTTGGCTGCCCTGCTTGATGAGGCTTTAGGCTTGTGTGCTGAGTCCACAGAGTTGGTGTCAAAGGGTCATACGCGGTTGTACACCGCTGGCCTTGAGATTTCGTATCGCTCTCCTGTGCAGGCGCCGAGCGTCGCTATGATCAAGACATGGGTCACGAAGAGGCAGGGCAGGAAGTGGTTCTTGGAAGCACAGGTTCTTGACCAAGATGGCTCGGTAAAGGTAGAGGCTAAGACGTTGTATATCAGCTCGAGAGTTGATGCTGGATTATAATTCCTAGGCGCCACTCATGAGTCACTGGAGGCTTGTGAACTCCTAGCAAGGAAGCTTCTATTTGGGAACAATAAGCCCGCTTCCTACCTGTATGATATTATCGGCATCGGGCATTGTTGTTTGGCGTATGTGTCTTGTAACCAGCCTTGCCATTGTAGTCATACATGTGTTTAGCGATCAAAACCTCATGAATCCCCAATGGATGACATTGAAATTATGTCCTTTTTGGCGAGAAAATAGAAATACTATGTAGCGAGTAATTTATGCTACGGATTTGATTATATAATATTGTTGTTCTTCTTCGGACAGACACAGGCATGTGTAAATATAACTTGAGGGAAACATACATCCAAATGTGAAACCCACCACGGTTTATGCACATTGGAAATGATCAACTTCATGAAATCCAAAGACAAAGGACATTCTATATTCCTAACTTGAGTGGATACTAGCTTTGCCAATTCACCACCATAATTCTCTCCAGAAGCCTACCACAACCCAGTCGCTACCAAGCTACCCCTCAACCAACTCAATAATCTGATCTCGAGGGCATCCAAGCCTCTCCATAGACTTGACAAACGTCTCCAGCTCAGCCCAGTCTTCAGGACATTGGACACCGGGCCGCTGCTGGGCGCCCAAATCCAACACCATCAGGGCAAAAGCGGCACAAGATGTGCCAATGGAAGTCGCCATGCTCTCTCCCATGAACGAGTCCTTTCGGACGACGGGCGTGCGTCTGGTGGCGACAGCAGGGTGTCCATTGCGGGTGCCAATGCCTCGAACGAGGATCCCCGAACGACGTGGCGCCTGCTTGCCCCGTGCGGAATCCACCAAGAAACTCAGGACCTCCCCTGATGTGCATTGTCCCTTGCGCACCTGGTTGATCATTCCCCAAAGGGCAAGGTTCCATGGTTTGAGGGATGAAATGCCCTGGGCAGCTAGCTGGTATAGCTGATTTAGCGTAATGTCGCCGCCCCTGAACTGAGCGGTAATGGCACCAACTGTCTCGCCCCAGCTGGTGGAGGTCTTTTTCTGCATACCCTCGAGAAAGTCGACAGCTGTGTCCATAGAAAGAGCTCCAGAGTGGACGGCGGCGCCCAGACCTCGGGCAAGGCCGTTGAATGGCGCAGGACTGAGAGCGCCCAGGGTGCGGATTCGAGGAACGGTTGGGAGTCGGCGCGGCAGGGTAACCGGCTCGGGGTGGACACTTTCATGGAAAAGATCGTTGGATCCAGCGATAATGGGGGCATAAGCTGTCTCGACCCAGTTCTCATGGACCGCGACCTTTCCATCGGCCCAGGTTAAACAAGGTCCTCCCGTGATATGCATCAGGTGCTCCAGGACCTCTCTGCCCAATTGGCCGCCCTCTTCGCTGACCAGCCAGCAAATATCCAGACTCTCGACAGTATCAAGTTCTTTGGCAATGTCAAGCGCGATAAGGTTGGTCATGCCCGGGGATGAGCCGCAATTGATGTAGCATGGGACGCCCTCCCTCTTTGCCTGCTCGTGTGCATCGAGTGACGCTTGCGTGCTGCTCAAATCGTCGGAATAGTCCAGATAGGGCACCTTTGCATCGATACAAGCTGTGAGGACGGGTGTTGAGGTTCGGTAGTATGGCTGTGCTCCTTGAATCACGAGCGCAGCACCGGCAATAGTGCTTCGTAACTCATCCGGGTCAAAGAGGTTCACCTTTCGTATGGTGACATTCCTACCAGGTAGTTTGGCAGCGAATGTCCGCAGCTCTTCCTCATCAGCGTCTGCGAGGACAACTGGCACGTCGCTTGCTTGCACAAAAAGCCTGATGGCTTCTCTGCATATTGCGTCCGTTGCACCAATAAAGATGACTGGCTTAGAGCCGGTAGTATTGGTTTGCATGTCGTAAGAGGTTTCGTTTAATCTGGCGGATGTTTTACGTTCGAAGAATGCAAAATGGATTACCAGCTATATTGGCTTGGTAGTGAAATGGTAGAGGTTGGCCTCTACCTTTATTCTTTCTACTTTACTTACGACAATCATAAATCGATATTGGTGCTTCTGCACCTGGTCATGCCCTAGGGGCGGGCTTTGCCCCTGATTTGAAGACCTTGAAGCCCTACCCGCGGCTCCGAGCTAACAACAGCATGCCAAAGATCTGCAGGATCATCGATGATCGGCGGGACCAAGATTCGGATCCGGGGGATCCGCGGGTTCCCGAGCATGGGCGTTAGGGTTCGTTCCGTCGATCGAATGCGAGAGCATCAACTCCCAAGAAATCGGAGGCAAATAGTTACGACAAGAACTATGGGAAACTCATGAGCTAGCAGCATAAAAGCAAGGCACGTCGCTTTGCCTTGATTTCATCATGAACTATCCATTGCAGCACATTATTACACAAATCACTTGCGCCTTATAACGAGCTTTCACACAAGATGGCAACGAGTCTAATTCCACCCGAGCTCTTAGCGAAGTTGGCCAGTCAAATCGTCCAGGACCCCGGCATTCCAGTCGCAGCTCCAACTGTGTCAGCATGGCAAGAACCTTCTCATCCTATTGCGACTATCCATTCCGAAGATCTGCCGCAGCGCACTGACTTTGCCATCATCGGTTCCGGTATCACTGGTACCAGCGTTGCGAAAACAATCCTTGAACATGAATTAGCACGCCATAAGACGGTCACTATGTTTGAAGCCCGATCTCTGACGACCGGGGCAACTAGTCGCAATGGGGGCTTCCTGCTGAGCCATGCTCCGCCGTTCTTCAAACGCTATGTCGAGGCTTTTGGGACCGATGCGGCCAGACAAATTGCCCTATTCTGCGACCGCACACTGGAAACCATCGTGGATATGGCCAAGGCCGAGAATCTTGATAAGGCAAGCCAGATCAGAGACGTCACGACAGTCGCTAGCTTCGAAGATGAGGAAGGGTTCGCTGACGTGACCGAATCTATTCGCATGTATGAAGAGGCTATTCCTGAAGCCAAGGGAAAATATACAATCATCAACAAGGAGGCAGCAGAGAAGGTAATGCGCTCTGTGGTGGATAACTAGGACCTACTTGCTGCAGGCGGCATACTGATTGTTTTCAACAGGAGTATCATCTCAAGAAGTCTAGCGGCGCTCTGGTCGTTCATTCTCGCGTGTTCTGGCCATACAGACTGGTCACAAACCTTCTGGAGCGCCTTCTCCAACTTTATCCAGAGCGATTCGCAATCGAGACCCAGACACCGGTAATCTCAATCACCGTCGATGGGTCCGACAACGAATACCCCTACATATTGACAACTCCCAGGGGGACCGTGAGAGCCGCCAAGGTCTTCCACTGCACGAGCGGTTTTACAGGCCACCTTCTGCCCAAGCTCCGGGGAGCAATCTTCCCGTGCCGACTCTCCATGACAACTCAGAAACCGGGACCGCAGTGGGGGAATCGCCCCAACTCATGGCTCTTTCATTCTAAGCAATCATATGACGCCAGTACCACCTTAGTCGAGCAAGGTCTCTACTGGATGCAGCAAAATGCAGAAACCGGTGATCTGTTTGTCGGAGGCGACCTGCAGAGGCTGGATGATTTTATATCCTCAGACGACTCTGTCATCAGCGCGGATTCGGCGAGAAATCTCACTGATTTGCTCCCTAAGAGGCTCTTCAAGGAAGGCTGGACCAACCCCATCACGAATACTACCATGACCTCCGCCACTGCCCTTCATAGAATCTGGTCTGGAATCCTCAGCATGACCGCTGATCAAGTCCCGATTGTGGGGAGTGTGCCGACAAGTGTCAGCGGTAGAAAGGTTGAAGGAGGAGAGTGGATGGCGGCCGGCTTCAATGGATACGGCATGTCTCAGTGTTGGCTATGTGGCGAGGCTATTGCTCGTATGGCGATGGGAGAACCAAAGCCAGAGTGGCTCCCGGATGTCTACTTGAGTACTGAGAAGCGTCTGGGAGATGAGGCGTTTATGGGGCCAGAGGCAGCTTTGGCGTCCTTCTTTGCAAGGTAATACAAGATGATAGATGCTGGCATGCAGGTCCCAGTCTGGTGGTCTTATATCTAGAACCGAGTCGTGAGTTCTACTTAAGTTCTATCAATGGTACCAATTTGAATGTAACTACCACGTCCACTTTCACTGAGCATTTGAAGTCCTCCCTGCTACGTAGCCGAGCCAGTATGGGCAATTTGATGTGGCATCTTCGAAGGATGACCTCCTGGTATTGTACAAGTATGTTCACGTATACCATCTAAATCAGCATTTCCTAGGTTCGACAAGGCAAATTGTGTATCAAGACCGTAGTTGGTCGACCAACGACAGAAATACACATCTCAGACCACGTTGCATCTCCTATTCAGATATACACATAATGATATGGCACAAAAGGTTCTACAAATCGAGCATACTAGTCAACAAAAATTCCCAGATATGGACAAATTCTAATTCTATCCCCCACCACACGTTCTATTCCGACCATTCCAATCCTGTCCGTATATCTCCCCACCACGCCCGTACAAGGTCCTTCCAATAGTACGACCGAGGAGCCCACTGCGGCCTGTCCCCAACTTTCGGAAACGCCGAACGACCCTTCCTGACATACGTAGCGTTCAGGTTCAGGAACGGCAGTTCCTGCATCTCGTTCTGCTCTTCTTCACTACAGCACGGAGATACGATGCTCAGCCCCTCCTCCCGCATTTGCGTCAAGATCCGACAGCTAAGCTGCGCAGTTGCATCAGCACCCAAAGTCCAGCTCGCATCGACATACCCCAAAGCAAACACCACATTCGGCAATCTATCGACCATACTGCATTTCCACATGTAATGGTCCGGAACCGCAAACGGGACTCCGTCGACCATGATCTGGATGCCCCCCGCAATGTTCATCTTCAGTCCGGTGGCCGTGACGATGATATCGGCTTTGAGTTCGGCCCCGGATTGCAGCTGAATGCCTCTCTCCGTCACCGACTCGATCACCCCGGTGGCCACGCTGCCGCTCCCATTCCGGAGGCATTCGAAAAAGTCCCCGTCGGGACACATGCACATGCGTTGTTCCCAGGGATTGTATCTGGGCGTGAAATGGGGGTCTAGAGGCACCTCCTGGGGAAGTTCCCTGCGGGTGATATCGAGACATATCCACTTCGCGAGTCTAGGGAACCAACGACAGAAATTCACCAGGACGAGGGGCACAATAATCCATTTGAACCGGATCAGGCTGGCTGCCAGATGTGCGGAGCAGAACCATCGAATCAGTTTCTCGATGGTGTCTTCCCTGGAAACAGACAGGACATAGCTAGGGGAGCGTTGCAGCATCGTCACACTGGACGCTTTCTCGGCCAGTGACGGCAGCAGGGTGATGGCCGTGGCGCCGGAGCCGATGATGACGATGTCCTTGCTGGTGTAATCCAGGTCGGAGGGCCAGAACTGCGGGTGGAGCACTGGTCCCTGGAATCGCTTGATCCCGGGGATATCGGTCTGCAGCGGCTCATGATAGTCATAGTAGCCGGTGGCCATCATGATAAACCGGGTGCGCAGAGTCACGGTGGCCGCATCGTCTGCGGAAACATGCACCGTCCAGGCCTTCCTACACGTCGACCATTCCATTCTCTCCACCCGATGCCGGAACTTGATCTTCCGGTTGATTCCTTCCTGCTTGGCTGACTCTTGGAGATACTCGCGGATTAACGACCCGTGGGCGATCGAGTGCTTCTGAGTCCAGGGACGCCATGCAAACCCAAACGTAAACAGATCCGAGTCGGACCGAATCCCTGCGTCGTCTTAGACACGGTTCACTCCACCAAAATGCTCGGCGTGCCTACCTGGATACTGGAACAAGCTCCATGTTCCACCAATTTCATGCCGTTCCTCCAGAATGCAATAGCTCAAGTCCGGATGACTCTCCTGCAGTCTGTACGCAAAGTTGATTCCAGAGATGCCAGCACCGATAATGAGAACATCGTAGTCGAGGCGGGCGCTTTGTTCGGGCATGTTGAGGAAGGATGGTGTATACTATTGCCGTAACGGGGTTCGGGTAGTTTGTAGCTTTTAGCATCAGATTCATCCTGGCGACTGATATATTCATGCAATTTCCCAGGCCTGGTCATGTCCCCACTGGCCTTTTTGTCCGGGGGTACAGTTGTATCACGCGTATTGCCACTACATATGCCCGTGAACCCTAAGTGGATATCGCATCTCACTCTGTGCCGCCGGACCCGCGGATCCGGCAGCTTGGGGTTTCTGTCTCCATGCCTGGCTCAGGTCTAACTGCTATGCAAGATCTGTGACTTGTCTTCTGAACTAGGCTGGTGTCGGAGCCGCTACGGAACCGTGTGTCGAAGTACCCACTCTTCTCCAATATTAAATCCATTTCCCAGTTAGGTTCGTGAGTGTCATATGGATCTCGGACTTTGCGAGACTAGATGAACCCTGTATACTCACCCCTTCTGTCGCTTTACGTGTTCGTTAAGACCAGAAGCACAGAGGTGCATTTACATCCTGGATTAAAGTGTATCATTATCCACATACGTTAAGCTGGTATCCGTCCAAGACGCTAAAGAAATGTAGAGAATACACGTGGACTCCAACAAGAGCCGAGAAGGTTATCCCAATGCAAGAAAGATTTGAACACCGTCCAACAATGCATAGATGCGTCATGTAAAGAGAAGCAAAGGAAAAATGTCGAGGTTAAAGAAAGACAATAAAGAATCTCAATCGATCACGTCATGAAATCTAACTTCACGCCCCTCGTCGAGGCCGTTTACTCTCACCCCCCATTCTCATGCCTCCTCGGCCACCGCCCTCGCCATGTCCACTCTCATCGCCCCCGGGTCTTCCACGCTTGCGATGGGAGCCTCCGCCGCCGCTGCCGCCGTCGCGGTTATAGTCTCGGTCGCGCTGACGATCCCGATTGCGGTCTCGATCTCTATCACGTGGTTCCCGGCCGCCGCCGCCGCCCCAGCGCCGATCTTCTTCGGCGTTACCTGGGAGGGGTGGCGGGGGAGGTGGCGGAGGTGGGTGTCCACCAAGCGAAGATGGAGGCCGAAGGCGCCCTTCATGTTCCTGACTCTGGGCGTCTGATGCATCCTCCCGATCCCGTCGACGACGATTGTCATCGCGTGACCCGGTCCCTCGGCGTGATGCCTCGCGGGACTCGTACCGTTCTTCCCGAGTGCCGCCTGCGCCTGCATCACTTCTACGGCTGCGCTCCCGTTCATAGTCTCGCGTCCGATCTCGGTGCTCCTCTCTCCGGCTGCCACTCCGCGTTCCCTCCTCCTCGCCTGTCCGACGGTCACGTTCCCGATCCCGGTCACGGTCACGTTCTCTGTTATGCTCCCTTTCTCGATCCCGGTCGTGGCCCGAGTACCGTACAGACCTTCGTGACTCGGATCCAGTCTCCTCTGCAGGTTCCCCACGGGCTCCGCCTGGTCGATTCCGGGCTTGTCCATCATCTTCAGAGAAAGTGGATGGCCGGCCGGCCATAAGGTCAGGTCGATTCTGTGCTGGTCCCAACCGACCACTTTCATCAGGAGCCTGAGGAGTATTCATACCAGCAGGCTGACGGTTGGCACCTCGGCCACGAATGGTTGGACCTGGGCCCGGACGCTCCGCGGGTCCTCCAGATTGCTGCAGCATGTTGTTGAGTCCAGCAAACCGCTTATCACCACGGCCCCGTTCGCCACCGTAACCGGGACCTTGAGGCGGTCCACGATTAAGAGAGGATGGCCCTTGTGGTGGTCCAAGCGCACTACGAGGTCCCGATGGGGGAACAACGGACGCAGGAGATGAAGGGTGACCGGGGCGCATGGGTCCTGCAAAGGAGCCATCCGAAGGCTGCGGTTGAAGGTTCTTCAGCCGGTCAGGATGTATTCCAGTGGTATCAAGCCTTTCAGCGCCAGGTGACGATGGGGCTGCGGATGCAGATTGGTCAGGACCGCCACGCATACCCTGGCGGCCTGGCCCAGTAGGCGGTTGGCGTTCATTAGGTGCGTTCGGGCCGTTAGAGGGCCCAGGCCCGCCCCGTCCACCTCTGCCAGGTGCATTGCGCATCCGGGGCCCAGATGGGATTTCGGCTGGTGGCTCTGGCTGACGCAACCGTCCGTGGCTCAGGTCCGGGTCTCTTGATTCGTGGCTTTCCATGGAAGGTCGTCCAACCCGTTCACTGCGAGGTCCAGTTGGTAGATCCTCATGCCGTGAATGTGCTGGTCCGAAGTTACCGGATCGGCGGTCATCAGGGAAGCGTTCCGGACGGTTTGGAAGTTCCACTCTTGGAGGGGATAACGTTCTCGACGGCAAAGACCGCCTCTCATCCTTTTCTTGTCGCAGTGCCTCCCCACGTCGATAACCCTCCCGGTCAGGATGATCGTGGATCATCTCTGCGCGATCAGGGTGAGTCGGTGGACCAGAGCGTGCGACAGGCGGTGCGTCCCGAGCGTCCGCAGGGCGTAAACGTCCAGAGCGATCCGGCCACTCCGGTTCTCTTGGGAGACGCCCCTCACGGTAAGGAGGGCCACGGAACGGCTCATCCATAGATGGCCTTAGAGGATACTCTCTATCGAGACGACCATAGCCCCTGCCATCACCTACAGGCTGTTCAAACGACCTATTGTAGTCATGCTCGCCGCCATAGCGACCGCCTCGAGGGTACTCTGAATGTCTATCGCGTCTGTCGTCTAGAAGGTCAGGTCGTGGTGGCAACCTTCCATCCTCCCGATAAGGGCGATTAGGCGTATGCGTCTGCGAGCGCGCGTTTTGGTTGCTGAGTGGCGCTCGTTCTGGGTCGGGGCGTCGAGGAATGTTGGCTTGCCGGCCAGGTTCAGGGCCCTTTGGAGGGGCTGGGGATGCAGCAGGTGCTGGGGAAGCAGGGGTAGGCTGACCAGTGGTTCGAGGCTCTGCAGCTGGAGCAGTAGGCTTCTCATTAGCTGTTGATTCAGCGCCGCTTGCCTGCTGCGTCTGGGAAGCAGCCGGTTCAGCTGTGGTTGAGGCTGTGGTATCAGCCTGCTCAGACGACTTCTGGCCAAGTTTATCTGTTTCTGTTGTGTTCTTCGACACAGCATCGGTCATCTTCGCATCCTCAATCTCTCCATCTTCGACTTCCGTCTTTATAGGTTCTGGCTTGGACGTGTGAGGTCTGTAGTTTGGATTGTCAGAAACACGGGCCAGGGTAGTAAGATTAGTTTTTAGGTTGTATTAACTTACTCAGTAGTTGGTTTGAATTCCGTAGCGGAAGCGTTCAAGCCTGGAGTCGAAGATTGAGGCCGCGACGGTAGCGACTTTCCATTTGCGTTCTTGTCAACTGATTCACTCTTTGGAGGATTGCCCTTCCCTGCTGCTGGTTGACTAGTGATCATAAAGGCCTGGGGAAGCATCCATTTCTTCTCGCGACGGTTGAGATCACCAATCAGAGAGGCTGCGGGAATCTTCACATCATCTCGCTCGTCGTTCTGGCTGAGATTGTTCACACTAGTCAACATATCACGGCCAATCCAGTTCACGGCAGGGAAGTTTTGCACGACTCCCTTGAGGACGCTAATAGCATTGCGAATGTGCATGTATTCGCCGCCATTCAGGCAAGTTTTGAGGGCAGCCGCCAAAAGACGGTGCCACTTGTACAAAAGTCGGCGGAAGTCCTCATATTCCAGGAATGTCGTCGGTTTGCCTTCCGGGTCAACAAGCATGGCAAATCCCGGAAGATCCCTCTTGGTACCGAACGCTTCCTTCTCGTAGACGGCCTTGTCAGCATGCCAACGGCCAAGATCTCGGATAATCTCGTTCAGGAAGCGGCCAAGGTTATCAGCCTCTCTTGAAGTACACTGGAAAATCAATGCAGTAAGTCTCTGCTCTCGGAACAATTGGTCTAGAAGACCGACAGTCCGGAAGTTAGGCGTTCCGGATGTATGGAGGAATTTGAGGAGTTTAAAGCAGTAAAATGCGTCAATGGGCGACAACAGCAGTCGAGGCATGAAGCACTGCTCTAGCAAGGCCACATTCAACGCATCGTGTTTCCCACGCATACCAGCGAACCACCGATCCTTCTCCTTCTGCAGCTTCGTCCTTGTCAGACCATAAGACTTCAGATGAGCTTTGTTCTCCTCCAGTATGCGGTCTTGAAGCTGAGTTATCTGCTTCTTTTCCCGCTCCTTTCTCTGGCTACCGGCCATGCTAATGTCGGATCGGTCGTTGCCAATAGCAATTACTTTCTTCTTCTGGCGGTCTATTTCATCCTCATATGCTTTTTGAGGTATGTGTACGTCGTAAAGAGACAGTTGCCAGAAGGTGGCATAGAAATGCAGGCCAACCACACCCCATGTTTCAGAAGGCAGAGCCGACTTTACCTGGTCCTGGAGGTCTTGCATAACAGGATTCAGAGGAGTTTCAGGAGTAACTGAGGCTGTGGCGATAGCCTGTTCTGTTGTTTTGTTCACAGCATCGGCATCAGTAGGCTTTTCAGACTGATCTTTGTCAACATCCATATCATTCTCAGCAGACTGCCCGCCATCCGGAGCTGTCGCTTCTCCCTCATCCGTTTCCATCTTGTCCGCCTCATCTTTAGACGGAGACTGTTCCTCGCCCTCACCACTCTTGGCCACCCCTGCTTCCTCTTCCTGTGTCGTTCTTTCACTCTCGGATATCTTCTTGGCCACGCTTGGTCGTCGAATCCAAAAAGCTACTTCAGGCTGGACTCCGAACTCACTAATCAGGGATGCAAGATCGGGTACGAATGAATCGAACTCCTCCACCGACATGTTGCTGCGCAGAAGGTCCAGGTACTGAGCTAAAATTCGATGAATTTCATCAAATACGTTGCCCAGCAGCTTGAGTTCTGAGGAACCCTCCGACTCCTGGAAAATGCAGGTCCAACGTTCCTGGGCGATTGCAATAAGCAACTGACCAGCGAGCTTCGAGACGGTCAACGCTTTCATTAATCGCCTCGATGTAGTTTTAGACTCGTGTCGTCGGTCCAACAGCTGTAGGATTGTTTGGGCTTGAAG